GGGGGGGGGGGGGGGACAAATGGGATTTTGGAAAAACATGTTCCTTCCATCCCCCCATGGTAAGGACTTATCTTGGATAGGATAACTAGTTGTGATTATCCACAATAACAAGCAAACAAACAAACAAGCAAGCAAAAAAAACAAAAGAGAATATCCAAAAATGAAAATCCTATGAAATAATCAAAAATCTATTAAAAAAAAATAATAATAAAAGTACAGGAGAAAACACAAAGGTTTGAGATAAAAGCATAAAAATGCATCAGTGACTGTGTGGGCTAATGGACTTCTCTCTCAAGTTAATAGGCCTATTAAATATGTCTATAACAATAATTACAAATGGCAGTAATAATAATTCGACATTAATTATGTGATTGTAGCTGCTTGATTATCACTGGCTGTGACTCATCGCCCCAGGAGTGAAAATTGAAACCTTGTACAGCACAGCTGGTTACAGAGTCATAAACTACACATTTATCAGACTGAGCACACAGTGTTAATGCTTCTGCAATTTAAAACAATGTTAAATTACTTACCTCAAATGTTGCTTCTCTCCTACTCCTCATAGTCAAGATTTCAGAGGCTACTGAAACGTTATATATATACCCAAACACCCAAGTATGTGGGTTAATGTGTGTGAATCTCTAACAACGAGATCAAAGAGTGATGAGTCTGTGGCCACTGTTGAGAATCTTTAATAAAAGAAATATTTTCTCAGAAGAGACCAACATCAGAGAGAGTGCACGTGAGCAAGAGGCAAAGAGAGAAAAGGGGGTTAGGATTACAGCTTTTGATTTAGCATTACCGAGATAGACGCTCTTCTTCCTGCAGTGAACCTCACGGAGCTACAGCCGCACATTTTATAACAGATTTGTACCTGTGTCATTAACCAGCAGATTCTGTCATGAAAATTCAGTGTTCTACAAACCAGGGTACGTCATACATGCATGATGCAAACAAGTACTGCACAGCCCATTAAAAACCAAATAAATGGTCAACAGATTTGTTTTTACCTGAGTTTCGGTAGACTGAGCCTTTAGTCCATGGTCTTTAAATTTCAGTATTTTTCACTTGATACATAATCAATGAACAGATAAATCCATTTGGAAATAAATATTAATTGAGGAAGAATTTAGATCTGACAGTCTGAAAATTTAAAAAACATAAAATCCACAGTACAGTTTTGTTTAAAAGAAGTACTGTAATCTGTTTAAAATGTCTTATTATACACACACATACACACACACACATATATATCTTATATATCTATAACTAGAAATGTGTGGCACTTGTTTCCAAACACTGTCTGAAACTGTCTACCTACAGTAACGTCACCTTTGAAACCTGATGAAACACCTTTACAAATTACAGCAGAATTTGTGCAAAAAAAAAAAAAGAAAATCATCAAATTTAAAAATGGAGTAGAGCTGTAAGCTTGCAGCTCTGTAAGCATGCAAAGTACACATAAAACATACTTTAATAAACAGCATGCATTTTTGTAAAAAATAAAATAAAAAATGATTAAAAAAATGCCTAATATATTTAAAATAAAACAACAAATGCAACGAGTAAGGATTAAATATATGTTTAACCATATTGTTATAACAGCTGGTGAAGAGGCAGGGTATAAAAACAACTAACGTGAAAAAATGTTTGTGGCTTTCAGTGAAAAAGCTTAGTGTGTTAGAGTTACAGCAGAGGGAGCATTCCTCCTGTCCTCTCCTGGGCTTCTCTTCTCTCCGCGGTCCTTTCACTCTTCCGGTGTTTGCCCTGGACCTGCCAGCAGCATCTCAGAAATATCGCACTCACTTCCACAGCTTCCCATCAAAGTCTGGACAAGGAGGTGAGAGACGAACATCAAATCAATAAAATGTAATGCTTCTTATCTGTGGCTGTACGGATGTTACTGTTGGATGTTTATTGACTGAAATAAAACTCTGAACAGTGTTTGCTCACCCCTATTGCAGTCTTTGGCCATATCTCTCTCTTTCAGTAGGTTGTTTTTGTAGTCTGTGGATTGTGGTAAATACACAGGTTATGAGAACGTATCTTTTTTTGTTAAGGTAGGAAGTGTGTGTTTACTGTATGTGTATGAAAGAGGCTTTCTGTACCTGAGTTCAGAGGTTCCTGGTTGCAGGCCCTCATCTCTGTGCAGTCTAATGACATTTCACCTCCACTCATCACATTCCCTCTGCACGGAAATAAGAATAGTTCTGCTTACAGCTGCTGGATTTAATTAAGAGGGAAAATGATACGTAATTTATTGCACAATAAGTCTTACCGATCAGATCGACGCAGGTCATACTCCAGCCCTGTTAAAAAAAAAATTAACACAATCTCAAACACACTGTGTGCATGAAATGTGTTCTCTATAAATATGCTTTTCATTATTATAAAATAGTTTGTTGCTGGACACAAGCCAAGAACAAAGTGAGAGTTTATGGGTTAAACGTCCAGTGTGGAGGATTTAGGGGGATACATTAACAGAAATGGAAGATCATATAATAGGTATGTTTTCTTTAGTGTATAATCACCTGAAAATAAGAGTCGATGTGTTTTAATTTCCTTACAGACTGCAGGATTTTGTCCACAGAGATCACCACATTGCACCGTCATGTTTCTACAGTAGCCCAGAATGGACAAACCAAACACTGGCTCAAAATACAGCCATTGGTATTTTCACATTTCGCAAGCAATACAAGCTCCCGAGTCCAAGACTAATTTCCCTACTGGGGAATTATGGGACAATAAAGTATATCATATTGTCTCATATCTAGCACATCATATCACATCGTATTGTATTGTATCGCATGGTATCGCATGGTATCGCATGGTGTTCTAGCATATCTAGCACATTATATAATATTGTATCATATCGTATCGTATTGTATCTAACATATTATATCGCATCGTCTTATATCATATCATATTGTATCGTATCGTATCATATTGCAACCAGCATATCATATTGCATCGCCTTATATCGCATGGTATCGTATTGTATCGCATTGTATTCTTGTGTATCTAGCACATTATATAATATCATATCATTGTATCATATTGTATCTAACATATTATATTGCATTGTCTTATATCGTATCATATTGTATCGTATCGTATCGCAGCCAGCATATCATATTGCATCGTCTTATATCGTATCGTATCGTATTGTATCGCATTGTATCGCATTGTATTCTAGCATATCTAGCACATTATATAACACTGTATCATATCATATCGTATCTAATATATTATATTGCATCGTCTTATATCGTATCGTATTGTATCGCATTGTATCGCATTGTATTCTAGCGTATCTAGCACATTATATAATACTGTATCATATCGTATCGTATTGTATCTAATATATTATATTGCATCGTCTTATATCGTATCATATTGTATCGTATCGTATTGCAGCCAGCATATCACATTGCATCGTCTTATATCGTATCATACCGTATTGTATCTAGCATATTATATCGTCTCGCATCGTATTGTATTGTATTATGTTGTATCGTATTGTATCGTATCGTATCTAGCATTTAATATATTGTATCAAATCGCATTGTATCGTTTAAGCAAGAAGCCTGATTGTAATAAGCAGTGTCAGAAAAAGATTTTTTTAATGTGAAATTGCTTCATTCAATGTTTTTATCTGTTTAAATCACTGGGTCTATTTGTTTTGGAGAGGAGGAGACCTCTGCGAATATTTTTGGCTCCCATTAAAAACCTCCTGAACATCTGGATCTTAAGTTATAAAATAAAAAAAGGTAAGCACACATTAGCAGGTGCTGGGCTAGCTGCCCATGTCCGATTAGCCAAGCAGCATCGAAATATCACTGATATAACATGTAACTGCTTTATCCAGTGTTTTTAGGGGTTTAAATCACCTAGTCTGTTTATTTATTTATTTATTTATGCAGAGGGAGAGACCTCTGTGGATAATTTAGCTCCCACACTAAAGGAATACAAAGCAGGAGTTCACGCTTGGCAACGAGAGAAGTTTCAGCTGGTTGCATTTAGGAATCCTCAACACTAGATGCCACTAAAATCCCCATAAATCTTCCACACTGCTCCTTTAAACAACTCAGACAATACCTCTCTTTTTGCGCCGTCGAGTCAGCACAATGACAGCGACAACGATGAATGCCAGCAGTAATAAAGTCGCCAGGAAGTAGCCCAGATGTTGCATGAAGTAACCTCGATGCTCAGGGAGAATGACATTCACCACACGTGGCCCCTCCACTTCATCAGTCCCTAAAGACAGAACATGGATAAAATAAAACCTTTCCAATAATTCTCTCACACCCTGACAAAGTTTATAAGAGATGTAGTAAATACTCCACGTTATATATCAGAGAACAATGGGACGTACTGCAGAGGATTTATTGTCATGTTCTAACTGTAATATATTTGACTGTTACATTGTATTAACTTACTGGCAATAAACACAGATCAAATTTAAATGTATTTCGACATAACTAAATATTCTTATTCCCCCTGAGGCTTCCTCGTTTTCATTTGTTTCCCAAAGTCAGAGAGGGAGAGCAGGAGTTAAACGTCTGTTCGGCGGTAACGACTTCCAGACCTGATGTCATGCAGCTGTTATTTTTTTTCTTCTCCTCAGAAAAACACAGGCTGACCAGAAAAGAGGAGGAGAAGTGTGAGGGAAAGAGAGACAGATTCTGTTATATGTGGTCTGTCTGCATGTCTCTATTAGTTTTCCATTTAGGCCTTTTTTTTTTCACATCTTCTCACAAACACAGAAGTCTAGTTTCTGCATGCAGGGAAAATAAATCTGCGACACCTTCAGCAGAGCTCGTCAGTGTTCTCGACAGTCTAAACACACATCTGACAACACTGCAGGCAGCACCCAGTCTCACACTGACCCAGTCTGTTTGTGTACACTTTGTAGATAGTCGATGATAAGTATTAAAAGCAAGCACATAAAAATCTGGGCTTGGAGATGCAACACCATAACAACTACTGTCTACTATAAACACTGTGGTACACTGTGATACTTCTGCAGAATAACCCTGTCATGCATGTTGCAGGGTAAATAAAAGCTTGTTGGTACAGTCTTTCAGTTTCTAAATTTCCCTAAATTCAAATGCAGCCTGATCACAGAAGCCAGATCACACAAAAAATGGACCATGAAAGACATGAAATCTTTTCCTCTTGAAAATTCCTCTCAAGTATTGCGTTACTCTGTGGTCTCTCATTAAAGCAGCTACGTTGAATGCTAGTAAAAGGCCTAAATGTGGGAATGAAGAAGACATGCAATGCAGCATCTCCAATCATGCTTTCAGAACCAGCCAATCATGAAAAAAAAATCTTATTCTGACTTAATCATCCACCTCCTAAGTGGGAGTGTGGTTGGCAATTATCACCTGTCATTGCTTAATGTAGCTAATATGCATGAAACTACAAAGACACGTCCAAGGTCATTGTCTCTAGAGCTCCACTGTCACAACCCGAGCTGCAGCCATGTCCCAGCAGTAGCCCATTTCCATTTTCTTGACAGATCTGACAAGTGTGTACGTGTTAACCGCTATTTCACATATGCTGCGCGGAGGTTACCCTGTGTTTTGGTTCCTGTGGGATATGCGTCATTTGCAAGTCAATGAACTGAAGGAGAGCATCTTCATTTTGAAGGATAGAGATTTCAGCTGAACTACTGACAGCTCGCATAACACCTCCGTCATGATTATGAAGAAATAATGTTCGATGTGCCACAAATAATTACAGTGTTGAGATGAAAAGCTCTCGTGACATTTGTAATTTCAAATGATTGCCAGCACCTGCGTGAGCACAAACAGTTTACGTTTAATCTGAAAGACAAGTCCAGTGGTGCGTAAAGACGAATTGAATTCCTAGATGAGGTTTACAAAAAGGACACAGGCAGGATGTCATCTCTCCACATGTGCATTTCTTTAACATGGAGCTGTCATCTTTACAGGAGAGGCTGAACTATAGTCCAACACATACCTGCGTCCCCTCCCCTTACTGTGCTCTTTCATGTCACAGCTGGCCCAGATATTGAACACATGTCTCAGACTTCCTTTAAGTGCTGCTAAATAAGCCTCAACCAGAGGCCGATACACATCAGCAGATAAACAGAGCAGACTGGGAGCAATCAAGTATAAACAAAACTGGAGATACAGAGTAACCAGTCCAGACATGTGGTTGGGACTTTTGGAAAATGGGGTCAAATGGAGGAAAAAACACGAGATAGGACTCTCCACGCCCTAAATTACTGGCTGTTGGAGCCTACTCCTCTGCTCAGCCCAGTTAAAATGTCTCCAGCTGTAAATGAAAAAGCTGTAAAAATGAAAAAAAGAGTCAGCACGGAAAATGAGACCACTTCCGTTGCAGCCAATTTAAAGCTGTTTACTGTAGGCAGCAACTCAAGCTCGAGCTGCAAATAGTTGAGTCCAAAAACACCTTCCATTTGCAATGCTGAATTACAGCCAACAACTAACAGATTTCTCTCTTTCGACCCCTCTTTTTTCTTACTCAACTCACTTCAACATTCCTTCTACCTCCTCCCTCCTTCTTCAGCTCAAACACAAAAACAGAGAGGACCGAGGAGAGATTTGGCAGAGGAGGAGAGGAACTGATTCAACTGACCAACTATGTCTATAATTATAACAAAAAGTCCAGGGGCTGCGTTGTCACTCTATGCACAGTTCTGCCGAAAAACCATATGGGGAAAAACATTTACCATTACTACTGTCTGGAAAAACAAAGTTCTGGTGATGTGTCTCTTGTTGTTTTTAATTCTGAGTGACTTACTTGGTTCTGGCGCATCATTCTGGAAAACTCTGGGTGCTGTCGTGGGGGCGGGCGGAAGTGGAGGTCCCACAGTGAGCCTGAAGATGCGTCTCTCGTGCAGACCACAGTAGTGGTGATGCAGGTGGCAGGAGTACAGGCCTTTGTCAACAGGCTTCAAGTCAGAAATGGACAGTGAGAAATCCCCTAAAGTGAAAGCATCTTCCGCCACGCTCATCTTGTTCTGGCCAAAGCGTGGGCCATAATCCCGGCGCTCTCCGGAGGCGTAGAGGTCCACCAGGCGGTCAGCCTTATCAGGACGCACACCAGGGGGCTGGAAGTCCCAGTGGGCTACCTGCTGCTGGTCCTCCTGGAGGCCCTCTCTCCACAGGGGGCGTCTGTTCACACAAGGCAGTACCACTGACTTGCCCAACAAGACCACAAACACGGTCTTCTCTCCATCCCAATAACGTTTCTCTTTGCGAACTAGAAACATATGAGTTTGAAATACATTAATATTTAATCTCTTTCATGCATCATGACTCATGGAATAACTAGGCCAGGGGTCAGCAAGCTTGGCAATGGCACACTAGCAGTAAGTGTGCAAGGGAGTTTTTTGGAAATGCTGAAGAAACCTCTCATTCATACGTCAAATTACCTCTTTCACAGCTGTTGTTATGACATCCACAAGCATTCTGCGAAGACCCACCCTTCTTTGTCTTTGATTGGCTAGTACCTGCCTCCTTACCCTGCTAAAAAAGCAAGCTAGCGCCGTTCATTGCATTGTGGAAACTCATTCAAAGGGAATATTAAGGAGGCTTTCTTCTGTAGCTCAGAGGTTTGTTTAGTGGCTCACCAAACAAGGAAACAATAAAATCAAGAATAAAAACATTCCCATGTCAGCCTGAATTGTTGAACGAAGAAATGGCAGAAAACATTAGAGCGCAGAGGTTTTAAAAAAAGCCATGGTATTTGCAATGACATATAACCACTCATGGCATGATACTGTGATTGGACAGTAAAAGGAGTTCTGCTGCTTAAGACTAGTGCCTCAAACATCAAAAGGTGACGACATACCTAAAGTTTTTATGGAACATTTTGAGGAGCAAGGGATGGCATTAGATTGGCACACTAATTTACAAGAAAATTTTAAAATAGCACTTTGTATCAAAAAGGTTGCCGACCCCTGAACAAGGCTGTATGATAAGCACACCTCACCTGACTTAGTGACATTGAGCTGGATTTGAATGGACTGGTGAATCTGGCAGTAGTGATGGTGCAGATTACAGGTGTAAACTCCTTTGTCGGTTGAGACCACATCTGAAAAAAAAAGCATCCAAACAACCGTGAGATGAAATCATAAATGCAAGAGTGAAACGTTCATGCAGCTACTGGAAAATATATAGAAGTCTCACTGTTGATGATGAGGGAGAAGTTGCCATCATTGAAAGCAGAGTCTGGGACAGAGATGCGACCCTTGTTGAAGCCGTTGTAGACCCTCTGGCGCGCTCCGGGGGACATGTCCAGGACTCGCTCCACCGAATACTCTGGGCTGCTGCGCACCAAGTCCCAGTGCACCACCCTCTGACGGTCCTTCAGTCTGTCTTGGGTCCACACCATACGGGGGCTGTGGCAGGGCAGAGTGGCCTTAGACCCTGCAGGGAGGGTGACGTTCTTGGCCTCCACCACTACGCCTAGAGTGCTGCTGCTGCCGCCACTTTGACCCCACGCTGACACAAAGAAGTAAACACAAGGGGATTAGAAGATCAGTGACAGAAGGAGAAGCATCGAACATGAGCTACTGGACATTAAAGGAATACTTCAGCCACAAAATGATAATTTGTATATTAATTATTCACCACATGTTGTGTTGAATTTGTAAAGAAAACGTAGCTTTTCTCGCATGCCTCCAGAGTGAACGATTAACCCAAACTATGAAAAAATTCTTGATGTATTGAAGTAAATGGGGGCCGCCTTTAACAACAGCAAAACTATATCAAATGTTCTGTTTACAATCTCTCACGTAACTTGTGCAGTATAATACAAGTCTCATTTATCCAGTTGTATGCTCAGTACTTCGCCAACACATGCATTTTTGCTAAAACCTTACTTTTGGAATTACTTCCGCATCAGTTACACACACAAATTAGTAGCACACCAGGACAAGCATGTGCATTTGAACCCTGCTCTGCCCATGCATGCTACTCATATGTGGAAGTAAAATTCAGTGCTTGGGCAGTGACTTGTGGCACCAGAAACCAACAAAAAAAGGCGTCCTTTAATGTCGGCATGATACGCTGCCGGTTGCCGTTATAGTTTGATGGCACCCAGTGGAGTCAGGGGGAAACACTGCAGGGCAAGGATGTAAATTAAGGCAGTGAAAGTCCAACTGGGTCGGGCGGGACTGGTGGTAGATGGGTCCAAAAAACACAGACTTTCACTCGAGATAGTGGTGTTCACATTCCATAAGATTCTAAAGCATTATTCTATTTTCCTAAACCTAACCACATGTTTTTGTTGCCTAAACCCAACCATGTGTGTTTGTTGTTGAAGGAAAAAAAAAAACATCAATTTGCTGTGTTGTACCAACATGTACTGCATTTATTTTGAAAGATACTCGATACTGGATACTTGTTTCATCCGAGTATTCAGCTAAACCTTAGCAAAAACGCATGTTTAAGAGGTACTGAACATATGAATTAATGAGACTTGGATTATACTGCACGAGTTGTGTGAGAGTTGTGGAAATGGATGTTTTGATAAAGTTTTGCAGTGGCTCCCTTTTCCTTCGGTTCATCAAGAATTTTCTCAATTTTTGGATTCTTTGTTCACCAGAGGCATGCGAGAAAAAAGTTGTCTTCACAAATTCAACCTAACCCAGGGTGAGTAACTGATAAACAAATCATGATTTTTTTGGGGGAAGTTTTCCTTTAAAGTAGTGCATGGGGAAACAAATAATGTCTTACCTCCTGGCAGGAGGAGCACAGCAAGAACTGAAACAGACAAAAACATTCGTGATTAGAGCTAAATCCTCCTGAGGCACTTAATTAATAGTTGCTTCTAGATCACAGATATCAGCCTGTTTACAAATTAACTCTTGAGAGATATTTGTAAGAGTCAGCAGAACGCTGCAGTGGCTCCAGAGTTTGGGTTTGACCTCGATTGACCCAGCAGTGAAATATTCCAGTGTTGGAACAGATGTGGGTTCAGTGAGCGGACTGTTTGGAATAACAGAGGAAAAGTGAAGCAACAAGGACACGGTAACAGGCAAGACTTAAAAAGTTCCACACAGGAGTACGACAGCAGAAAAAATATACCAGATGTCAAAGTCTATTTTCTGTGAGTATATTTTGCTGTTTACGTTTTCTCACTCAAGAGATAGGAAATTTTCCTACAGCGCATTCGCTAATTCTAATGCATTTTCCCCCACAGTGCTATTTCATCGTGTGTTTACTGAAGGTCCAGCAGAGATGCATGTAGCCAAGTCATACAGAGCCTCTATTCATCCTGACTGCCGCTGGCTTGTTGCAAGGCCATGATCCTGAGGGGATGAAGAACCAGGCTGCTATTCAGCTCACTTCAGTCACCCTGTCACACACCTGTGTATTTTTACTGTATTGCTAATGGGTACTGTGAACTGCGGAGGCTGGAGGTGCAGAGGCTTTGGCATGGTGTTATGTGTGGATAAATTCACTACATGATGAAATATATGATTGAGAATGGGTTATTTTTAATGCAGATTTGAAAATGTGATGATTAATGAGCACTTTCAAAACACAAGTTACAAAATACTTCATGAATGGCAGCAAATTAAAATGAACAAATTATGAATTCATTAGAATTTAAAACAAAGGAGAGAAAAAAATTCAGATACATAAGTAGAAATAAATAAGACAATTGCAGTGAAACAAAAAAAGGATAAGCTCTCAGATTAAAGTATGTTTTAAGAGGAGATTAAAAGATTGAGCTGACTCAGAAAACCTGGTTTCCCAAGGCAGGTCGTTGCAGATCACTGAGGCCCCGACTGTAAATTCTGTCTCCTCTGGCTTTATGTCGCACCTCTGGAACAGTTAAAAGACTTCTGCCTGAGGATCTAAACATCACATGGGCTTGTACAACACAAAGAGGTCAAAATATAGCAAGAGGGAAGGTCATGAAGTAGACCAGAGTAATCAAAAAATATCTGTAAATCAATTCTAAAACATCTCTGGAGTTTGTGTAAAGAAGCTAAAACTGCTTAAAACTGAAAAATCTGCTGTGCAATGATATACATATTCTAAAAGCAGTGGTGGGATGTTATGAAGCACTTATTGTAAAACTTAAATTAAAAGCCTGGCGCCTATTAATCGCCTAGTCCCTTTTACCAGCCTGGTGACGCTACACATTTTAACAAATAACGGCCTGTTTCAATTAAACGTGCGGTGTTGTTGCCAAGCAGGTAATTTTAACAGAAGCTCTTGGATGTATAAAACCAGGCTGTTGGCTACTCGAGCTAATGTTAGTTGGCTGCTTCAATCACACCAACAGATGTAACCATGAGCACCAAAGACGACCGTAATTCCATCAGATTTACCGGCATGGTAAACAGGAGAGGCCAAAAAAGAGGTGGCGACTCTCTACCTATGAAGCTGCCATAAAGTCAGACTATGTGTCCCTTCCTTGATTACCTACTAAGTTATACGTGTTCCTTTAGTTCGTAAAGGTCCATCGAGCAAAAGAATCAAAAGAGTATTGTTTTAACAGGATGTGTTGGTAAGCCAGGTGCTGTGAAATGATTGTTGTAACTCTGTCTTTGACGTGCTGTCTGACGGAGCTAGATCAAATGAAAGATTCATAATTAATATGTTATTTGAAGCCTAATTTTTATACAAGTAATATTCATACTGGCTTATATAAACAATTTGATTGTACTTCCTGATCTTTGCTGAGCAACAGTTTTGTATGAAAGGAATTAAAGGCCTATCGCAAATGTAGGCCTGTTGATTTCAGTGATTTAAGTCAATAATAGCCTGGGATACTAATTGAAGTTTTACTGTAAGTACAAATTTGAGGTACTTCAGCATTTCTCCTTGATGTCACCACTACAATCCAGAGAATATTATACTTTTTACTTCACCACATTTGTTTGATAGGTTTAGTTATTTAAAGATTAAGATTTTACTTCCAAAACATGTAATTGGTTCAATAAATATGATGCACTGGTATAGACTTATCTACATAACTGTATTTTAAAGGTGTTAAATTAGCTCCACCTCAACCAACTACGACAGTTAAATGCTATTTAAACATACTATTATATATTATTTCATTAAATTAATATGTCTGAGGCATTCATAACACTCACAGGCAAATTATGAACACTTTTACTTTTGACACTTAAAGTATATTTTGCTACATTTCCGAGCTTGTAATGGAGTATTTTTACACTGCAGAGTTTCTACTGTCATTTAAGTTATAGGGGAGACTCCACAGGTAAAAAATGTTTTTTTTAAACACTGGTCAATTTTGAGATTTCAGGCTATTTTGCTTTAATAACATGTTTTCTTTCAGACTGGTGAAAAGAAAGCAACCAATATGGACATCTTGCCTCTGACTGGCCAGGACTTGTTGCCTTCTTCACAGAGTTTAGGTGTTTATTTTAGTTCAGATTTCTGCTCTGAAAATGTTTGCAGAAAGCACACATTTTATTTTATTTATAGTGCTTCATTTGCATATTTTAACATAAAAATTCAGAAAACTTATAATACAAAAAATAACTGTCTTAATGTAAGTAGTCAACTGGGGAAGTTTCATGGTGACATCTAAAATTTAAAAGTTATACCCTATTCACCTGGGATGTCTCTGCTTAAAGAATATTTCTTCCACTGTCATAAAGCAGAAGTGTATCTTCTAGTTTTTTCATTTTCATTCATCTTTCGAGAGTATTTTTATCATTGACATCCAAAAGCAGGCACAAAATCTGTTTGGTACAGGTTTCAAGTCTCAAAAAGGGCCCTCTCCATCCAGGTGTTTTGCTCATCATGGCTGCACGTGGTTGATTCACTTCCCATGTGAGCACAAGCTACAGACAGACACATGAAGAGAGTATTCATTTCATCATGTCCAAACAATACTTCATCGGAGCACTGCTACTGTGCTTTTATGCAGTGATATGAATCCTGCACAGCATACAGTAATTTGGTAAGTATACACCAGTATATAATAATACTTCAAGCTGAGCGAAATGATTTCAGCACACACACTGGCATCGGAGAGGAGACCTCATGCTGGAAAACTTCTAATGAAGGCTATAAACTTTCCCGTGGAAGGTAAAACAAAGTGTCCCAGCCCCTGTAATTTTCTCTCATCTCTTCTCCAGACACACGCAGGCTGATAACTCACAAGGCTGGTTTAACACTAAAGACTTAACAATGTGCTATTGAGTCACAGGCTTTAATTACAGGCATTAACCAAATGATCTGCCAAATCACTGTTGTCACTTGTAACCCCGGGAATCACACGGAGAATCACTTAGCACAATATCGGCCCAAACGTAAAAACAAAAAAGGTCTCTAGTCAAACATAAAGCATGAGTTTACTCAGCATAGTTTATGTGATTCATGGCTGTTGTGGGTGTGTGAAGTTTACTCACAGCCCCGTCACAGGTTGAGAATAAATCAAACACATGTGTCCAGCTGCAGAGTCAGCTAAACGTACAAAGATACAGTCAGACGCCAGAGGAGCCTGTTGACTCCCATGTGGAGACACTCGGGTGGACATTAGATGGCAGCCAAGATTTTCTTGTATTTTTAGTCATGTCTGTTTGCATAGCATGTGCAAATTAGTACAGTTAGTATAAACAAGTACTTTCCATTGTGTTAATCATCATAATTACACACAGGGGTGTAAATACAGACAGTACAGGCAGCGTGGTTGCACTGGGGCCTGTGGAAATGGTTCAGATTGCCACCTTAAAACTACACCTGTGCTCAAAGAAGAACTCACATTACATTAAAAATGGTGCCATTCGCTACAGGCTATATGCCCTCAAAATGCACACCCATCTCCGTCATACATTTTCTTTTCTTTTTCTTTTCTTTCTGTAAAATAGTCTGTTACAAAATGATATGCTTATTCTACATGAATTAGAAAACCCATAAATAAACAATATATATGTAAAAACTTTTCAATTAAATGAATAATTTCTTATTTTCTTTGACATTTTTCTCATATACAGCTAGGCAATGATAATTGCTGGGTTACATGTATGCTGATGTTGCCTATGTCAACTCTCTATCTACAGGTGCCAGTGGTGTGTGTGCGCACCTTATAACTAGTAACCAGCGTGCACTAGGGCCCGTGGTAATCACCTTACACCACTGATTATATACTTTATCATTATAAACCTTTTCTTTGTGAGTTAGAAGTTTGTTGAATATGTTTTTATGTGTATTACTTTCTAAAGATTTAAATGCGTTTGATGTTTATGGATAACTTCACTGAGTATATTATCGTATATGTATATGTATATGTATATATGTACATTATAGAGCAGTCATGTCCAAAGTCTGGTCCAGGGGCTAATCGTGGCACACAGACCAAGTTTCAACAGCCCTCGGTTTGACTTTGAAAATATACTATATGTGGCCCACCACACAGTTTTCAGTTGGTGGAGTGAGATCACTTGGCATTTTTTCCCTTCACCTCACAATGGCAGGACTATTATACAGTTTGTAGACATGCATCACAGGTGGAACTAATGTTTTTTTTTCATTAAAAGACGGTAAACAAGCAAATGGAGTGGTTACCTAACAGCAGATATTTCCTGCTATAGGCAGCAGACATGACCACTGCAAAGAAGTGCAAATGTGAGTGGTGGAAAGTTGAATACATTTTCACTGAAGGATGAAACAGTTGTGTTTGTCTCGTTTGTTCATGATTTTCTTTTAGTAACCATTTGATGTGAGAAGCAGCTGGCCCCGAGGTATTTTCACATGATCTAATCTGGCCCCCAGTCAAAAAAATTTGGATACTCCTGGTATAGAGCTAAACAGCACCACACCTGTGCATGTTTAGGTCATCAGATCTTCTACTTAAATAACAGTAATAATACCAAAGTGTAGAAATACTCTGTTTCAAGTAAAAGTCTTGCATTCAAGATTTTGTGTAAATACCGGTAACATTTCATTTGGACAGTCTGCTTGCAAATGGTTTTGTAGAGTATCTGTAACACTTTATCTGCTTATCAGTTAGGATTCAACAATTCAGCTGTTTGGCTTCCTTATAAATATTTTACTGATTATCTATGGAGTATAAGCTTAAACTATCCACTCAACCTGTGCTGCATAAATAGATCAAGTTCAACTAAATTATTCTGAGACTATGTGGTGAATTGTCACATGTACGCTGCACATAAACACTGACTAATTGTTGAAATGTTACAGATTCTCTATGAACTATCTGTAGAGGGACTATCCAAATAAGGTGTTACCCATATTACCACATAGTAGGCACTTCAATTGTGTTGGCCATCATATTTAGATATTATAACACCATTATATACCCTTTCCTTGTGGGTAAAAGCTTGTTTAATATGTTTTTATGTGTATATCTTTCTGTAGATTTATATGTTTGATGTTTATGCATAACTTCACTGAGCATATTACCATAAATGTATGAATGTACCTTCATGTATGTGATGGTAGAGCTAAATTTGGGACAACAAATATGCTGCATATTCTTAACAGTGGTGGAAGAGCTCAGGTCTGAGTAAAAAATATTCTGTTACAAGTCATGCATTTAAAATGTCACTTAAGTAAAAGTGCTAAAAGTAAGAGTACTCATTATACAGATTTATGTATTTTATTGAATTATAATTATTGGTGCATTAATGTGTACATCATTTTAACCATACAGCCGGTAAAGATGGAGCTCGTTTGTACTGCTGGGTTGTTGTGAACTGTGAGTCAACAAAGGGGTCAGTAAAGTCTTGTCTTTATCCAGGGGCGTAAATATAGACAGTGCAGGCAGTGTGGTTGCAGTGGGGCCTGTAAGGTGGGGGGAGATTAGAGAGAGTGGGCCCTCAAACAATGTGTTGGGTGGAGTATGGGCCCTTATGAGGGATTGCCAACTTGGAATACGCCTGTGTTCAAATAAGAAGTCTTATTAAATTAAAAACATTGTGATTTGCTAAATATGCAACTGCAAAAGGCAAACCTATCTTTGTCTTGTTTTTTTTTTAAACAAATAAAGATAAAATAAAATAAAATAAAGAAATGTTGAAATAAATTAATAATTTCTTTCTTTCTTTGGCAGTTTGTCATAAACAGATATGCACTGATAATTGCTGGGTAATATGTATGTTGATGTTATCCAGTGTCAAGTCTCTGATCATGTTGAGACCATATGTGCACAACAGCGTGCACTAAGGCCTGTTATAATAGCACGTGCCCTGGGGCTTTGCAACTACCTTACACTGTCTTTATCCATAATTATACATCATACTTGATTTGTTGAATATCTGGTGTTACTAATCTGAACCTACAAAGTAACTAGTAACTAAAGTTATAAAATAAATGTAGTGGAGTAAAAAATTACAATTTCCTGCTGAAATGTAGTGAGGTAAAAAAAAATAAATAAATAAAGCAGCAGAAAAATAATTCACTGAATATATTTACTGATCTTGTCTTTCTCGTGTTGTTTTTTCAGTTGTTTGTATTTTGTCTTGCAGTAAAAATAGAAGAGACATTGGCCTGCTACAGTGTGACTCAAAACTTTACTTGGTGGAGTAAATTAACTTATTTACTTTCCACCACTACATCTTGGTCACGTTATGTCTGCCTATGTCTAGATGTCTTTGTGGCAAAAGCAACTTGATAATAATATACTGAGCATCATGTCAGTGTGTGGGCACCTTTTACTATAGAAACAAAGTGGAGGGATTGAGTGGAGCTGTCCAGAACACAAACATATAACCTCACAGTGACCTTGTCATTTTCTCCTTTGAATGAGTAGCTTCATGTTTATGATCTTATTTTCTTCAAAACATCAATTCCAATCTTTTCCATGCCCCTGCTGTATGTGGCCGGTAATTAAGACAGAGCCCATCATAAACATGCAGGAGTGGTAATCCCCCTCCTCCACGTCGTCCGGACTCAAAGCAGCCCACTCGTGGTGAAACACTCATTACTGACACATATAATGAGTGGCTGCCGGATTGTGCTGACTCCTCGACTCAGACCGCAGTTAACTAGAAACACATTGTGCTTCAGCCACAAACAAAATCCCTCATAGACACTATCAAACAGGCCGATGCGAAGCCATGCTGCGTTACTGTACATGCAGTGATCCGTTTCACTTTCAAGTTTCAAGTCCATGAGGCTCCATGGGTTTTATTTTCAGCATGCATGTTTCAAAATAAAGGCTGGAGACAGGAAAATAAATCTGTAATTGTGAGTAACATCACTTAAGTGTAATAATGGATGGATGAACATGAAAAATGTGCCAATAAATATAAGAACATATGCATTATGTGGACTAAAATAAACAGCACTGACAAAAAATAAATAAATAAATAGGCCACAGAAAACGAGCAAAACAAGTCGTAAAAAACTGGGTCGTAAAAAAAAGTCGACATCCCGCAACTAAAACTACTTTTAAAAGATCATAATGCAGATTATCACTGGTAACAATAAATAAATAAAAATAAGAGGCCATACAAAGACAGAAAAGAAAAATAAGTTGGGTTGTTTTAAAAAAATGTATACCGCAGCAAACACCAGTAAAAAATATTAATGTTGCAGAGTGTTATTGGGTTAATGTTAAAGTTCACATATCAGATGTATTCTGAGGAAAAACTATTGAAAATCTATTTTAAAATAACATTTTTTCAGTGCATCAGATCAGATCTGAGATCAGACTGGCTTTCGGCTTTTGTTCCCGACGCGCAATTTCTAACCTGGATCCAATTATGGAACAAAGAAAGTTTCCACCAAGTAACTTTTCCCCTTTAAAAAGCAAAGATGAGTGAAGAACTTACTCTGAAGTAGAGTCATGTCGAGGTGCATCTTTTTCACAGTGCTGTCAGCGGAGGTAAAAAAGCCTGCCAGGAGTCGGTGTGCGCATCAATTGATAAAACACAAGAAGGCTTCAAGTTGAGCAGCGAGCGGCGGCTCAGCTGTATTTTGTTGTATTCCTGCAGAGTGGAGGCTTCACACGCTCCGCCTCCACCAGCAGAGGAAACCCAACACTTTGCTGCTGCAGTCCTGGAGGAAAAACGGGTGTTGTAGTGCAACGAAGGCGTTAAGGCTTTGTAGAAAACTCACCAACACACTAAAAAAATTAAAAATGCACTAAATGTGAACAAAAAAGCCAGCCACAGACACAAGCAAAATCCACACCATATAACTTTCTATCAATCTGAAAATATTAGGTCTTATAACACACTAATACTGCACACAGAACAATGCCATCAAGTTATATATTTTCTTACTGTAGTTACAAAGATCAGGCTTGTGCTCTCATCTCAATTCCCATCAACTGAGGAACATGCTTTCTATACATCAAACTCTTCAGTTACACGTGTAAAGATACCAGTATATGGTTGATAAAACAGTCCTTGGAAAGCTTCCACATAAGGAAAGGATTAAAAAAAGATCCCTCCTCATTTCCTCTCTATTTGATCTTAAAAGGCTGCTTTTGGAATTAAATCCCTCAAAGGAAGTCATTTGACTTTGAGGCCTCTTCTAAAAAGGTTTTATTGTGCGAGCTAATTTTATTAAAAGGGTCACACAGTCCACTGGGATTTTGGTGCTCTTACTTCTGGTTTAGTTGTGCTGTAAAGATAACTAAACAACCAGTGATAGTGGTTATTTCAGGGTGAATTCATTTTTTTGTTCACATTTTGCACAATACTGCCATCCACAGTAAGAAAAGGAAAATGTACACAGGCCTACAATTCTTAAATCAGCCTAAAATGAGGTCAACAGAGAAGCACAGCACACCACGCCACGCCACGGGCTTGACACAGAAAGATCTTTATTAGATTATGTACACTTTGTTAAAAATAATTGTACATATGCCATCGTTGAATACGTCCTCATCGCTGAGACATGTGGCGAAGAACACAGAGTAGGCTGATTGTTTTAACTGCAGTGTGTGAAGTGAGGTGTGCAGAGCCGTCCAGTGTGAGAGATCACGTGACACGAACTTGAATCACAGTCAGTGTTTCTCAGTCCCTTTTGTTTCCGTGATGTTTGAGAAAGATCTTAGGTGCGTGCCACCCCTCCGGAGCCTTCTTCAGTCCAGCTTGTGTCCAGATCCTTTTCATGTCGTCCTCAAATCGTTTCTGCACAGGACAAACAAACAGTCCTGTAAATTCATGTTCAGCTAGTTTAGATTTTAATTACAATTACTGTACATCATGCACGCAAAAATCCTGCACAAAATAAACATTTCAAATTGAGTTGAGACTTTGTTGTTGGTAATATATACACCAAGATAAACTACACTTGTGTTTGTTTTCTTATCAAACTATCACACGTCATACTTAGATATTAATTTGCTTTAAATGAAAGAAGAAATTTGTCAAAACAGTAAGACATAATGTGTCTCCTGAGTATAACAGGATCCTAATTTATCTCCAAAAGAAAATAAACTCTCACCTGCTTCTTCCTCCCCCTGCCCTCCATCACTCTCCTCTTCAAGAACTTAGTCCGTTTTAGCAGCTTCTTGTATTTATGCCGGTTAATCTTCCGCCGTCGAATCTCCAGAACATTCTTACATTTAAGGGGTGTCGCTGAACCCTCCCCATCCTCCAAAACGGGGACAGAGATGGGAGGCAGCACCTTCTCTTCCAGCAGCCCAACGTCCTCCTGCGGCTGAGCAGACTCCAGCAGGGGAGGAAGGGAGTAGCGCAGGGAGAGCCAGCTCTCCAGAGGACTTACTGACAGTTTACGCGGCACCAGAGCCTCCTCCAGTTCAGGCTCAAGTTGTACCCATCGAGGGGGAGGTGTGTTGTCTGCTGCTGTTGAGTAGTTTCTTAGTTTTTGTTGTAGCGAGGAGCAGTAAGCAGGAAGAACCGGTTGTGCACATATATTTAAAACTTCTCCATGGGCTTGAAGTGCACCTGGTGATTAAGAGAAAATGTAAATTATGTTATCTATAACATGAACAGAAAATATAGTTTAAGTTAAGACCGGTTTGATGAATACATATTTGCTCATACTTACATGTTGCTCTACATAACAGACGAGGGGCAACCTTTGAAATAAACATTGTTAATGATCATCAAAGTACAGTCATCAGGAACGGGTTGACTGGTCACTGGTCCTGTTGGCATGAGCAAAGTACTGTGTTGGTCATACATGTTTCATAGAACTTTCAAATCAGTAATGAAACAATTAATTCATCCATAGAAAATAAATAGATACAATTTATTCATTCATTCTGGCCTCATAACTTTTACACATTACATTATATAAGAATAGTGAGTCATGTTTACCTAACAAGATGGCAGGAAAACATATTTGCATATCTCAGGCACTCAAACAATAATCCCTATTGGAAGACCGGTTTATATTGGTCTATAGACCACATGTAGATCTAAATTAGCCATAGCTCAGCAAAGTGGAACTTGAAGAGCTTCTTAAACACATTAAAATGGTCTCAATGGAATTGTAATGGAGGTGAGAAACTACAAAGCATCAGGGAGGAAAATGACTTCAGGGACACAGTAAATGATGGAAATGGTAAATANACCTTCCAAATATTTATAGACAGTATATTATCAGAGAGAGTTTAACATCGCCTAAAAAACTGCCAATAAAATAATGATAGGAGGTGAGAAACTACAAAGTATCAGAGAGGAAAATGACTTCAGGAACACACAATAAATGATGAAAATAGTAAAAATAAATAAATGGAATAGTGATAATAATAATAATAATAATAATAATAATAATAAGAAGAATAATAAGAAGAAGAAGAAGGATAATTGAAATTTTTCTTCCAAATATTAATACACAGTATATAATCAGAGAGAGTTTATCATCACCTACAAATAATTATAGAATATGCGGAATATTTAATAATTTTATGGTTTACAGTTCCTGTAGTACTTGATTACTTTGCAATGGGGGCATTATTAACCCGAGCACGTACCCAAAAAAAAGTAAAGTAAAAACAAAAAGAGAAAGAAAGAAAGTATTTACAATGTTTATTTTTCTGTGTTTATGTGAGAAAGAAGGCCTCAATCTACAATTTAAGACCTTTATTATTATTATTGTTTGACACATTTTAAAGAAAATATGAGGAAGTATTTTATGGGGACATAATTGTTGCTGCACAACTTGAATGACCCGGTTCAGACTGTGACACTTGAAAATTCCCTGTAAACGCCGTGAAACTGCCATGGGCATCTTTTTGTTTAAAATGCAGCAATGAAAATGACTTTCAGTTGCAGATAACGTGTCCAATATCTGGGTAAGGGTTAAGCTGGCCAACAGACAGACGACCGACAATAACTGATGTTCTTTACCTTGTTTAAATGAATTAAATGCACTTACGATACTGAGCGAATGCAAGAGAATTAATATTAACACAAACTGATAAGAATTTAACTTATCATCTAACGCTAGTTGCCGGGTGCCCCCGCTTCGGGCTGTTGCTAATGCTAGTTAGCACTGTAGCTCCGCTTTGGACGTGAAATTCAAGATTTAAACACTACAAGGCTGACAGCTAAGACGTGTTGGCCAATAACTACCTGACAACACAAATGAAATTATGTAACTTATTTTACGAATACTGTTACGTTACCTAATATTCCTTTGACCGGGGTTTTCGTCCTCAATGTGACTCCGGGAGCCTACTTCCGGCTCGAGCAACAGAAAATTAACACGCTTCCTGTTTCTCTTAGCTGACAAGGGTTCCGCCGGAACAATTATATAGAACCTCTAAAAGAAGGAGTCTGAGAACTTTAGCTGTAACGAATAATAATAATAATAATAATAATAATAATAATAATAATAATAATAATAATAATAATAATGTAGAGACAAATATAAATAAATAAGCTGTGTTTGTGCCCTGATAGTCATAGCATTGTTGGATTTTTGCTTGCACGCACTATTATTTAACAATTATGAAATAAAATACAGAAAACCTTATTATAGACTGTTTTTGGATCATTTATAATACTCTGTGGTGTGGACCTTTATGCTTACAGTAGCAACATACAGTGGGTAAATTCAATGCTTGAATGACGCCACTGGAGGGCACTAACAATCTGAGCAGCAATGGTCGTTCCAACTGAACCATTAACGCCTCAGTGATAATTAGGATAAATAACTGAGATAGAAACCTTGAATATGAACAGAAATGCGACTCAGTGTTTGAGACAGCTAAACAATAGATACAAATACAGTTAAACATGTCTATGATCATTTACATCTGAGCTGATCTAGGTTTCTTTTATGCCTTTTATTTATTATCTTCAACAATTCTAATATTTTCTATTATCGCTTTAAGATGACTGCAGCGACTGAGCAACGGGCAATTTTGTAACTACTGAGCTCGATGTAGCTGTCTGTCTTATCTTTATTCAGAATCAGAATCATTAATCAAAATGCTCAAAATGCTGCCATGTTTTGATGTTTATGGACCATGTATACCTGCAGAACAACAGGTCATCAGCATTTATCTGAACAAACATTTGAATATATTAAACCTGCCGCCCAGGGGAAATACTCTACATGAGACAGAAAATTTTGCTTGTGGCAGATGATGTTCCTCCTAATGGGGTCACATGACTTGTATAAACACTTGATGAGTAAAGGAGGGGGAGGAGTGTCAACAGTTTTATGCGAAATAGTAAAAAAACATTAAATTTGGAAATGACAGCTCTCACATACCAAAGAGTTTACATAAATGCTGTGTAACATGAATAACTGCAGCTGTAAATACTAAAGAAATATATCTTATTTTATACTAATTAAATTCTAAAATTATAATTTTATCTGTGATATCACAAATGCTAACATGCCTGGTATGTGCTGTGTTTTGTGACTGAATTTAAAACATTTGCTGCAGGCCAAGAAAAACCCAGCACGGCCCAGGGGTCTCTGCTCAGAGCAGCAAGCTACTGCTTTGTTTATGCACAAAAACTGACCTTCACTTTGTCAACTGGCCTTTTTTTTTAAACTTTACTTACAATATGAATGTTTTTGCACATATTATAGCACTTATTTGCATTTAAAAAAATCCAAACTATTCAGAAAAGAGTAGAAGAGAGTATTTACTTTGTCGTTCGTGTTGTTTTCCCATTGTAAAATTGCATATGTCTAAACCTATTTACGAAGTGCTATAAACATATTACAGTAGTCCCCTTCTTATTTTGTGAGCAGATTCATTTGGAAAGCTCTTTTTGGTCGTAATTCAGTTTTATTTCCCTTTGACTCATTAAAATAAATGTGTCTTTCGTCCATGTGGCACAGTTGTATAAGAAGGGAAGCCTCCACTTTTAGATTGCTCTAGTTTTACATACTTGTGGGCAGCCACATCAAATCATTTATTCATGGGGCTTTCTCTCTCAGCTTTCATTAAGATGGTGGGAAGTGGAACATCTACAGTTAGTCATTTCACAGCAGGGATTTTCACTGTGTGGCATTCAGAATATTGTGTGTGATATGACATGCAGGGCAAAAGAGTGCGAGTACAATAGACTGTAAATGTCTTAGGGCATTTATTTACAATAAAAACAACAACAACAAAACATTCATTTCATTTAAATCCTGCCAGCTGTTGACCATTTGCTTCACTGTCTATACTTACACCATCAGATTGTGATGATAAGGCAACTGAAATGATCAGCAGGATGCACTGTGAGATTTCCCTTTTACAGAACAGTCGGAATAGCTTTTAAAATATTTCTCTTCTACAAAATGTTCCTCTCAAAATAATATTTAAACATAAAAGTACAAGAAATAAAATAATAAATTGTTAACTTGGCAGTTTTCAAGATGTTGGTCAATCCCATTTCAACTCAATGGTCTCTGCATTATACACTATGTACTCCACTAGGATATCTATTTACAAAATCAGTAGTTGTATTTAGTTATTTCATCACTTTAAAAGCAAATAAATATTCACTGTTTTATTATAATTGCATTGCAAATGTACTGCACTGAAAGAGATCCGACCCTTGAAATAGACAGAGCTTTACAGACGTGAACATTTCATAATTTACTCAAAAGCAACACATACAGTATAAGCACATGGCAGGATGCTGAATGTAGTCACCATAGAGGTAAAGTAGAACAGATATACAATATAAATGCCACTTCAACAGGAACCAAATCAATAAACAAAAACATAAAAGAGAGAAGAAACTCATAACATAATGTAGAGACTCACCAACAAACTCACCAACAGACAAGACGGACAAAGCATTGAGATCACTTGTTGATGGATATGTCCATTACATTAGAAGACCACACAGACAGCGCTGGAGTATAACAGTATTGCGATATGTTTTGAGAAACTAATGTGCTTAAAAATGATTCTGAATACATTAGTTCTGCAATTAATCTAAAATGCAATCCCATTATTGGCTGCAGAACATGTCAAAAAGGTGAGGTAAAATAAATCTGAGGGACAAAGAAGTTGCATGTTTAAAGAGACAGTACACACATTTGTTATCTTACCTGTAGTGCTATTTATCAGTGTGGTTTGTTTTAGTGTGAGTTGATGAGTTTTTTGAGATAGCTACTGTAGAGACGTCTGTCTTCTCTCCATTATAATGGAACTAGATGGCACTCAGCTTGTGGTGCTCCAAGCATAAAAAAATACATTTGAAAAACTCAACAGCAATGTCTCCTTCCAGAGGTCATGACCTTGTTACTCAAGATAATCTACAGACCTTGTTGTGAGCAGTTTCATGCAGGAACTATTTTCTTTCACTACATCCTCTGACTGCATCACTGCACAGATTGATAAACAGCACTACAGGCAAGAGGAAAAATATGTATTTTGTTTTTGAGGTGAACTGTCCCTTTAAGTTAAGGCCATTTCATGTTATCTCTTCACTGTGAGCTGTGGTGTTAAATTCTGATCTAATCTTGTGGAGATTTTGATTGTAAAGGAAGTAGTAGTACACTCCTTTAACTGTGGCTATACAGTCCTTTTTGGATTTTAACCCAGAAAATAATGACATTTAAAGGCCCAGACAAACCAAACCGACATCAAAGAACTTTATGTGACTAAGACTGGCTGTTGTGTCGCCTCACGTTGCCTTTGTCTCGGCCAAAAAGTTGCACTTGAACACACCGTAGAGACCACAGCCAACAACCACCTAGCAGTAACTCTCCAGTAGATGGCGGTAGTCTGTATTTGTCATTCAATAAGGGAAACCAGAAGACCGACAAGACATATCAAGACACTAGTTAGCCAGTTAGCACATTAACAACACAGCCAAATGTTGAAAGAACAAATGCTATTTACCACGCAGCTGCAAACAATAACACAAACAATTATGTATAATTTCTGTGAAAGAACTCAGTGGCTGAAAAAATAACCTTAGCTAATATAACAAGTTTGTTTCGATCTCATGCCTTCTTGAATTTAGTCATTTGTTTACTTTCCTCACTTTGGTTTTCTTCTTGTGCACTGAGCTGAACTGCCAATCAGAGTGATTTCACTCACCGACGGGCTCTGACGCTGATTCAACACACTGTGTCAGCCTAAAAAAAGCCATCAAGGGCCTACTAGTGTCAATGGTGCAGGATACACCACAAAATTTAGTGCAAGAGATGCTCATCGACAGCCTGACATTGACCAATGGTTGACAGTCGGCTTGGTGTGTCAGGACCCAAACAGCATCCAACAGAAAAATCTTATATCACATTAGACATTTTGTTTGAAAACATCCTTATCTGATACTTAATATTTGGTACAATGTATACATTAGAGATCTTTATTGAGCTGAAACCTTTGTTCATTTGGTCAAACCATCCAGGCGATTATCTTCTCTACACAAACTAAATCAAAGTTATAACTTTTACAAATAAAACTATTCAATTTGTCGAAAAAAATGTGCGCCTTTGAAACAAAGGTGTGGTTAAAAAAAATCCCATACAATTAGGCAACAGATGTGTGAACAGGCAAAGAAAAGAGTGGAAGGAAACAACACTGTGCAAAAGCTGGCCCCTCTCTGTGCGTCACCCTCTCCAGTGTCCTCCAGGTTTCTGGATATGCTCCACTCTGGCCCTCACTGAGCAGCAGACCGGCCAGGCTTCACCTGCTTTTCCTCCTCTTTATCATCTTCCTCATCTTCGCCCTTGGCATCATTGATCATGGCGAACACCTGCACTTGTCTCACCTCTCAGAGGGATTGTGACTTATGGGAATGCTTTGGGGATAAAAGAGATGCTTGGTTAAAACTCTTGACACAAATTAAGAATGCAAACATCACTAGTTATATCAATGACTTAAACTTGCAAAAACATCTATTTGTCTTGATTTTGTATATTCCTCAGTAATTCTGACAAGCATTATGATTTAAACAGTGAAATAGAAAACACCTGAATACATAGTGCATTAACAGTACTCAAGCATCATTTGGTCCATGAGAGAATACTGACAAAAGACTAACCTGAAGATGGAGATCCAGGATACAACCAGATGGGTGGAGCTAACAGTTCTGCACACAGAGATGCACAAACAGCCATAAAACAAAGTACAAGAACCAAACATCAGCAACAACACACATAAAGCGATATTGAAAAAAATCACACAGAGCAGCAAAAGTGATTTAAAGATAGCTGATAATAGAAAAGTCTACGGTGGGGTTGACTCACCGATGAGGACTGATGATCGTGTGGTCGTTCCAGTTTGATACGGACGTCTGTCCCCTTCCCTCGTTCAGGTTTACCAGGCCCTGAAGGATAAGTCAACACTGTATTAAATCATATGTATGTCCGCAGATTGATTTTAAAATGAACTTGGGGTATCCATACATTTCAAGATGGAAGATGGAGGAGATTTGAGTACATTGTGTTTGAAAAAAAGAGTAGAGAGACTACATAATGTTTTTGCTTTGTGGTGAAAAAAAATGATATTCAACCTTTTTTTCCATTAATAGATAAAGGCAAAATTTGTATTTGTTAGAGAATATTCTAAAAGATGGTTGGTATGTTACATGTTTTGTATTAATGGTCATTCATATTTGTCTTGTAAAACATTTGGTAGCCACTAATGCCTGGGCCACACTGCCTGCATGAGCAGTGTGTGTTGGCCACCTCGCTGAACTGCTGCAGCTGGCATGTGTGTGGTGTTCACACAGTGAGTGTGGCTGCTGCGGTGCTGCTGCAGAGCCTCCTGCTGCTTTAAGCACTGTATTTCCACAATTAAAGCCAGTACTCTGAAAGTTACGGTGCCTTGTAGGGTGCTGCATCGTTAGCAACATGACCATCCAAATATGTCACAATAAAAAGCCTTGTATTGACAGGGGATTCTGTTGAGAAATGATGTCAGAGGGCTTTTATTTTGAAACAAAAACAGGAAAGGAATATACGGAAAAGAAATATTTACATGTTTTCATGTCTGTGATAGATAAAGAGATTGAAACTGTAGTGAAAGGTAATTTCATGTCAATATGATTATCAAAAGCTGATTTTCTTGGTCTATTTCTGCTGAAAACTGCCTGTTTCATATTGAGAAAATTGGAAAGACTAGTCTCTAGATGTTCTGCAGCTTAACAGCAGTCAAGTTGTGTGTGAGCAGTGTTGCTCACATGGGCAGTGTGGCTGCTCTAACCTGTTAAAATGGGTGCCAAAATAAATACAAGAAGTTCCACGACATATATGCGCTGCTCACACGGGCAGTGTTGCTGCTCTAACCACTTAACATGAGCGCCAAAAAATAAAAAAATTAAAAAAATACAGGAGGTTCTGCGACTCACATGCACTGTTCACACAGGCAGTGTGGCCCGGGCATAAGAGAAAATATGATATCATGGCAGCCCCGAAAGGCAAAGTGAAAAACACAAATCAAAAATTGCATGCATTTGCATGTTTTGTTTTTTACCTGGCTTCTCAGGGTTAGTATGATATTTTGTACAAAGTTAAAAAAAAAAAAAAAAATAGATGATGATGACAGTGCTGTTTCACATACTTGCTATCGGCTGATCTATTTTTCACATGACTGATGTAAGAGCTTAAACCGGAAGCACCACCATGAGAAAGGCAGGATTGTCAAAAATTTTTTGGAGGTGAACAAAGCATTATGTACCAGAGAACAGTTGTGTGATATTTTTCAATTTTGGATGTTTTGCACTTCGCTGTGTGCATTCTCAAAGAAAGAAACTGAAGCCAGTCATATACCATGGCCTGTTCATTTCTTCATTACAATTATACATATAGAATGAGCTAAAATATTTAATTTCGTTGGTAGAACAACAGAAATACTGTTAAAATTACATTTCTGTTAAATTTTATCATTGTGTTCTTCTGTGGTGCACCAGAGAAATCTCTCTGTACGTTATTGTCATCTGCTGTCCTACTGCCCTCTTTGAAAGCCTAACTAATATCCTGTTTATTCAATGATGACCCCTCGAGGAGGACTGTAGATGTGTGAGAGAAATCACATACATTCATAACGCCTTAATTATTTCTGCACAGTGAGCAGCAGGAATTCATTTAACATCCTGCATTCATTCATGCATTAAATAATTATGAGTCATTGCATGCATGAGTTGATAAATTCTCCCCTTATTATGGCTTATGTGAGTGAATGAATAAATCAACAAATATACAAATGAGAAAACAAGTAGTTTGTAAAAGAAGCCATTATTTGTTTTACAAACCCTGTGAGATTGATTAATTCTTATTCGTTCTAAGTGCTGGATACATTTTTAATATGCTGGACCTGCTTCTCCAAACATCTCATCCACCCCTCTCACCTGGGGAGCTGCCCCGACTGGTGGTGCTGGCGCTGCTAGCGCTGTCCTCCAGCCAGGTGCTGTAGGTGAAGGAGTCTCGCTTGTGTGGCGTTCCGGCAGATGACAGACTCTCCTGGAGAGCTTGCAGATGAGAGACATATTAGACGAAGAGATCAACAGATCATTTCTATGCACTCGTCATGTTTTCTTACAGGCTGAATGTAGCACTCACCATGCCTGTGTCATAGTCCTCCGTGGCCTCTGTCTCATTCTCCTCCACCACACTGGCGAAGCTGCTGGCGTTGGAGGAGGAGCGGGAGAGGTCATGACCCTCGGGGATGGATGGGGCCCTGCCACCGAGATAAGAACTACACCCTGGGTTATCACCCTCTAGCACAGCCAAACCTGATTTTATCTTATGTATAGGACACAGTCATTCAACATGCTGCTGCAGCTGAGGACTGCCCAGCGGCTACACAGACACGGGTATTTCAACACAAGGTGTGAATTCTACGATCAATAAATCCATCTGATATGGCTGTAACCTAAGATACACACCTGTTCTTGGTGGTTGTGAGCACCTCAGGGGAGCTCTGGTTGGACGAGTTGTCAGATTTGGGGTCTTGCGAGACGTGACCGCTGTCAGGAGTCTTCTGGGTGTTTGGGGAGCTCTCTCTGCTGCTGCATGAGACATGTGGTACAAAATATGAGGAAAAGCAAACAGGGTGTAACACAGACAAAAGCAGTTCATGTGGACGCACAGATAAAAAGTAAGGGACTGTTCGTTACTTATGAGAGGGAAGAGGGTGGTTCAAAATGGGGGAGGTATGTCAAATCATTTTTTAAGCACTGGGAAGGGACTTGTGTTTTTTTATTTTGGCTTAGGGGAGGGACATCTTCCTTTACAAATATGCTCTGAAATCCTGTTGGTGGGTTTGAAAGGCATGTTTTATTTTATTAAGTTACCAAAATGACACCAATTATCATGATCAGAAACTGTTAAATCAACACATTCTCACTCCGACCTCATCACATATCGTCGTTTGGTCATGGACTTTCCACGTCCAAATATGACGTGAAAGTTACCCTGGGTGCGTTCATTGTTGTGCCAATAAACTATAACAGCTACCAGCTGTGTATCACGCATGTAACGTGAAAGGACATTTGTTTTCCTCAGTGTCTGATGCTGGAAGTCACTGCCCAAGTGCCAGAGTGACAACTTAAGAGTGAGACTGAGTTGTAAAGAAAGAAATCATCATCAGATTTTCATCATTCTGATGGTCTTGAACACATCATTTTTGATGAGCACTTCCATTAGAAAACGTAACCAAATCTGAGCTTTAAATCAGGATATTTAATCAAAATCCTTTTATTCTACATGTTTACAAATTTAGCCAAAAATAAACTGTTTGCAGTGACCAGATTCTGTTAAAAGCAGTAAATTCTGCATTCCTGGGAGCTTTCATCCACTCCAGGATTTTCTTTTTCAACTTTTAACTTTTATCTTCAGATCATCAAATGGTAAAATTTTAAAATCTAATTACAGCAGCTGTGCCAAGTTACTAGTGTTATTCTGGCTGCTGTTTTGTGCGTTACAGTTTATTTGGAAAAAGTTATTATATGCCCATGTTGCTACCGCTACTACGTGTGTGAGTGTTTGATGTGTAGACTGATTACATTTAGCTGGTTTTGTGTGGCAGGATGTGTGACTGCTCCCAAATTCTGCTGAAGTGCACGCATGGATTGTGTGATAATGCGATATCTGAGGAGGATTTGCATTGTGCTACTGAAATTAGCTGTTTGTTTTGATGGTAACTGTCACTCCCTCTGTGCTGTTTGCTTGTTGCACTGGCTCCAATACCTACAGTTAGTCTGCCAGAGGAAATCAGGTCGGACAAGTCAGTGATCTCTTTCAGGTCCCTTCTTAAAACAAACGTTTATCGGAGAGCCTTTCCCGATTTTACTTGAGTTTTAAGTTCATTTAGACTGTCTTTTATTTCTTCAGTTTTTATATACTGAAGTATTTTTTTCAGTTCTTTTAAAAGAAGTTGTTTTCATGTCTTGTCTTTTTCAATTATTGACATATAAAGCTATTTGTAACTCTGTTTTGAAAAGCACTTTATAAAGAAAAATTAGTTAAAAGAAAAGTATTTGTAGCTGTGGGGGACGGTCAAGATAAAAAAAAAAAACAAGCAAAAGAAACAAAGTCACACTGCAGCAACCCCCTCCTCTGATAAGCATCGAACAGTCCCTAAAAGGTTGTAAGTTAAGAACGTTAGTGAAGCTTTAGATACATAAGAGGTAGATGATACTAAATGTTGTATGGGTACACAGAAAACTAAATACAGCATTAATGTGCAGGCGTCTTTTCTCACCTCTTCTCGTGGACTTCTTGAATGTTTTCAATACCGATGGCACTGCTTCGCCTGGAGCTGAAGGGACCAGACTTCTTCCTGGTCGGGCTTTTCCCCGGGATTATCAAAGACTGCCAGGGAGAGAGGGAAGACAGTAAGAGTCAGACTACTTCTAATGCCTTAAATATTATTGAGTAATATCAAGTTATCTCAAGAGCATATCAATCTATGTATTTATAACTGGGGGGAGTTTTTGAATTTCACTCTTATTGTATTCATTTGGGGGAAGAAGGCTGAACAGTAACCCAGCTCCCTTTTGAGTTGTTACTATGATGAAAAAAAAAGTTTAAGTATGCACTTAGCTGCTTAATGTCAAGCCCTGGTGCCAGTCTTTCAGCCAGCGCAGGGCACACTAAGGCGGAAGATGAAAGATGGATTTAAAGGCTCCAGGGCCTACCACTAAATATGCTTTCTCAGCGACTGCTTTGTTCATTCAATCTCCCTTTTAAAGCTCTTCAAATAAGAACTTGAAAAAGCCTTTTAACTCAATGTGGCTTCAAAGAGCATGACGGGGATTCTTTTTTTTCTTCTTCATAATTTCTCTGCAAGGGCGTCATTAAATCATTAATATTCATAATTTTTAAACAAATAGGGAATTAAGCATACTGGGATTAAAATACAGAATAGTCATAAAGGAGTACAGAAGGCGAACATATATTGCAGTAAAGCAGATAGGACAGTGAGAAGAGAAGAAAATGTACAATATTAGTCAGAAGAAAGCCAAAGTTGGGTTCTACTGTCTATGTGCTACAGTCATACGACAGAACAGTGCCTATCTTTAATTGCTTTAAAGGTCCAGTGTGTAGGATTTAGGGGAATTTATTGGCAGAAATGGAATATAATATAATAAGTATGTTTTCTTTAGTGTATAATCACCTGAAAATAAGTGTGTGTGTGTGTGTGTGTGTGTGTGTGTGTGTGTGTGTGTGTGTGTGTCATGTTTTAATTAACTTAGTGTGAACTGTTTATAATAATGCGTTTACATTTTAGAGCGCTTTTCATAGTAGTCAAAGACACTTTACATTAGTTAAACACAATCATAAAATAGAATACAGTAAAGTACACACACCATCATTTACGCATTAAAAGCCATTTTAAAAGATGAGTTTTGATGAGTTTATATCTACATAGGGCGGGTACTCATCCATATTTTTACAGTAGCCTAGAATGGACAAACCAAATATGGGCTGCAGGTAGTGCCATTTGCATTTTTTTGCAGCCTTTCCATGATAAGAGTGGAAAAGTGAAACTGCTTTATTCAGAGTTTTTATCTATTTAAATCACTGGATCTGTTTGTCTTGGAGAGGAAGAGACCTTTGCGCGTAATTCAACTCCCGGTAAAAACCTCCTGAATGCACTGATCTTAAGTTATTAGTGAAAAAGGTGAGCACACATTAGCAGGTGCTCAGCTAGCAGGGTGGTGGAGACAGGGTAGGATTGATTTGCAACATGAAACTTCTTCTATGTTTTTACCTGTTGTTAATTATTGGATCTGTTTGTTTTGGAGAGGAAGAGACCTCTGCTGATAATTCAGCTCCAGGTAAAAACCTCCTGAACAATAAACACTGAAGGAATCCCGACCTGGAGAAGTTTCAGCTAGTTGCATTCATAGACTGTGAAAATAATGGACATAGCTAACATGACGTCACCCACTGGTTTGTGGACTCTGATTTTGAAGCCTTGAGTTGAGCATTTCGGCCATTGACAGCTTGGCTTTTGGGAGCTAGGAGTGACCATATTTGGCTGAGAGGCTGGCGCTGTGTGGAAGTGAGTGGTGGCTCTGTCTGAGAGGAGACTATCAGCAGATAACCTGTCACTCAAAGCAGCACACCCTTAGTTATGCATAACTTTAAGCCTTAATAAAATGAAATAAATGAGTTTAACAAAAATCCCTGTACAGTTGTCATAAGTAGGGAAATTAGCTAATGAGACCAAAGTGGTCTTTTTTTGGTACCAGGCTGTAAACATGTTTACTTCTGCTTTAAAGTTGGGCATTTTGACATGGGGGTCTATGGGGACTGACTGGCTTTTGGTGCTTCTGTGTTGGCTTCATGTTTCAGCCCTGGAGGCTGCTGCCTGGTTCTAATCTGCAATCCTCACTGCAAGATGCCTCTAAATCCCCCTGAATCTCACACACTGTTCCTTTAAATGATTTTCAGATGGTAGTCTATGTAAAATCCAAAAGATTGGAAATCATTCAATTAATGAGAGAACGTGGAGGAGAGTATCAATATCTGCTTCTGTTTTATGACAGATTGAGCTAATGCTCTGAATGCAAATATATCCTGTCTGTAACACACAATGCATATTATGTTAAATACAGAAATGTATAGAGAAAGGTGTTTGGCCATGAAGCAGTGGAGCCATGCAGGCAAAACCAAAAAAAGGAGCAAAGAGGAGAAACAAGTAGTTAGAGAGTAGTTAGAATTAGACATGAACCTCTTCTACTGTTCCTATCCCTATGGCACTGCCTCGACGTCCATATTTACTGGGACTTTTGCCTGGGACAAGCAATGACTGAGCCACACAGGAAGAGGAGATACAGAGAGAGAGAGAGAGAGAGAGATAGTGATGAGGACAGATGACAAAAAGAAGAGAGGAGGGTAAAAGGGAGGGGAAGAGAAAACATGAGATATATACAAATATATATGAGATTCCATGCAGTCAGTTGTTAGCAAAATACAAAGCATGTGCTAACTGGAGAATACAAAGAGGGACATTTTTGGCTCCATGGGTGCAATACAGGCAGCTGAATGGGAGAGAGAAGTAATGAGTCAGTTTATGTGAGCCATATGCCTGCGAGAAAGAGGATGGAGAGAAGATAAAAACAGCAGAGGAGGACACACAGCATGTTATACATTAGCTTTCACAGCGAGACAGGGTTATGGGCAAAAAGCAAGCTCAACTTATATCTTCTTCAATGTAGAATGTTGGTTAATAAGTGGTTAGTTATTTTTGAAGGCAATTTCAAATATGATCCAGAAATACAGTATTAATGTGGGTGTCTGTTTCAAAATGATTTTTACCTCTATACCCTCAGCCCCCCAAAATATACAGTATATAGTCTTTATACATCAGACAAGCAACCATATGCATAGTCACTGTTAAAGGAATACTACATTCCCCAGATGACCACTTGTGTATCAGTTACTCACCCTGTGTTATGCTGAATTTATTTAATTTAAACCTTTTCTCACATGCCTCCATGGTAAACAGAGAATCCAAAGAAAATTCTTAATAATGGAAGTCATTGGGGTCCACGTTTAACAACAACAAAACTGCATCAAAACATCTGTTCATAAACTCTCACACAGCTTGTGCAGTATAATCCAAGTCTCATTTATCCAGTTGTATGCTCAGTACTTCCCAAACACATGCACTATTGCTAAAACCTTTGGATTTGAACTGAAAGTGAAACTTATTTTTGCTCCCTTCAAAGCCAGACTTCATTCATAAAAACAGTAATTTTACCTCGATGAACATGGGAGCTGCTGGTCGACCACTGCCTCCATCAGTTAGTTAGTTTGTGGTATTGTGTGACTTTGGTGTTTTAAAGGGTTAGTTCAGATTCAGCAAAGTCACAGACTAAGGGGCCGTACACATGCCGCGTTTTTTGCGCATGCAGTTTAATTGTTTTTAATGTAGATGCACAGCAGGCATGATCAAACGCCAGATTGATGCCGTCGCAGCGCACATGTGTTTGCGAGCACCCATTTTTCAGGCTATGCTCTGAGATTAACTGAGTTCAACTTTTGGAATGCAGCAGCGAACACCGCATGTCATGTGACGAGGAACAACCAAGCACAGCCAACATACATCTTTCCCTTCTTCCTTAAATATCAGTCTGTGATGGATATGGAAAAGTTGATCATGTTAGTGCAGACACAACCTGCCGCTGCGCTGTTGAAAGCTGGCACCAAAAGGCACAAGGGCAGCGCCCAGCTCCCAACCTCGTGTTTTCCAGGCGGTTAAAGACGCGGCATGTGTACGGCCCCTAACAAAAACCTTAGAACCGTAGACCTTCCATGTTCAATGAGGTAAAATTACTGTTTTTGTAAATGGAGTCTGGCCTGGAAGAGGGCATAGATAAGTTTCACTTTCAGTTCAGCTTCAGATTCTATTTTGGGGTCTGCACAAGTTGTGTGAGGGTTTGTAAACAGATGTTTTTGATATAGCTTTACTGTTGTTCAGCATGGACCCCTATGTCTTCAACTGATTAAGAATATTATCCATTTTTGGATTTTTCATTCAGTGTGGAGGCATGTGAGAAAAACAAAGTTTTCTTCATGATTTTAACACAACACAGGGTGAGTGACTGAAGTACGAATACTCATTTTTGGGGTTAAGTATTCCTTTAAGTGAAGACCTTGTACCTACAATTTAAGGGCATGTTTGACTTACAACTGAAGGGCAAAAAGCTCCTCTTTGGGGCCAAAAATTGTTATGCAACACTCAACTTTTTACAGTGTTTGCAGAGCCAATCATATACTGTTAAAAACTAAAAAACAAAATACAAAAAAAAAAATGACAGTTTGCAGATACAAGGTTTTCACCTGATGCCAGAAATAACCGTTTGTTCATAATAACCATTAAAAAAATAAAAACGACACACTTCATCTTGCACACATGCACACACACTCACACATACACACAAACAGGACTCAACCCACATTCATTATAATTCAAGTGAGCACTTGTGAGCAATGCAGATGCACAGGGATTTCAAAAATGACAACACAGATAATAAACAGCAGGTATTAGAAGCAGCTTTAACCCCGGGGAGAAATTCCCCCTGTGTCCTCAAAGCATTCAGGTCTATGAGTGTCCAGTCACTCCATCTTGTGGTGGCAGACAATGTGCAACTGTTGCAAAGTGAGAGCCAAGTTTAAGACCCAGGCATAAATGTTCCACTCAAGCTCTTCTCTGTGAGACATTAGTGCAGCAGGCAAGTGAGGGAGGAGGGGGCATGAACTCTAGTAGAACTGCTGGGGGAGGGGGCAGAGGAAGCGAGAGTCGCCTCACTCGAGACCAGGAGGAGTGGGTCTGTACTTACTATCCCTGGGATTTTGGGGCTCTCTGCGGGCTCGTGGTTAAAGCTGCTGCTGAAGCTAGTAGAGAATGTGTGCTGCTTCTTGAGAGAAAGACCCATGGCATCCATTGACTGGCTCCTGCTGCGGATCACCCGCTACAGAGAGAGACGAGGAGGAGGAGATACATTCAGATGGCGCTGACCCCTGTGACCCCCTCAGCATCGCTGTACGGCGTTACAGGCTGAGAGGAGCCTCGGGGCTGTCCCTGAACACTGACCACTACAGGCAGAGAGCGCCGGCCTGATGCTAATCCTGACAGACAAGGAAGCGACAGAGAGCACTGCTAAGCTTTAATGCCCAGAGGAGGGTTCAGATGAGTCATTATGCTAGATAGGTGGTAAGAGAGGAGAAGTAGAAGCACCAAGTGGCTCGCAGATGTCTCGCCACACTGAGTTTAAATACAGCCAGGAGAGGTTTAAAGCCCAGCGCACCTCTTTGCAGACATGGAACAGAGTGTGAAGGCAAAGGCATCTGATGATGAAAGAAATCTATCCATCCACTTTCATATTATGACAGAATCATATAAATAAGGGACTAGTGAGTGAACACTGGAGCATGCGAAGAGTGCAGCAGCACGAAACAGCAAGGAGGCATGAGAAAGAAAAGCCGGGAAGCCAGGAGTGGTGTGTTCCAGCAGGACAGAGCAGCAGAGCTTCTCTTCAGTCAAATTGACAGAGACTGAGGGAGATTGATAAACCTTTACAGCCCCACAGCTTGCATATAGATAAGAACAACCCTGAGAGACTGCCAGAGAAAAGACACCCTTCTTTACATCCACAGAGGAAACATCTGACAGCTGGTAGAAAAGGTTAGTGTAGATACCAATTTTATACTGTTCCTGTGCAGTAACAATACTCTTTATAGTTTTATAACGACACTTAAAGGTATAGTTTAACATTTTTGGAAATGTGCTTTGTCACTCTCTGGCCAAGAGAAGACGCAAAGCACTGGTGTATGAAGCTAAAGCCAACAGCATCAGGTTCTCTCAGCTTAGTATAAAGACTAGAAACAGAGGGAAATGGCTAACTAAGCTGTGCGAAAATAACAAAATCCAGGTACTGGCACCTCTAATGCTTGCTAAATAACACATTATATCTCACTTGATTTTATATTTACAAAAGCCAAAGTGTAAAAATTGCAATTTGTGGGTACTTATTTCTTGAGAAATATTCTAGGTCTAACTACCTGTTTCCCCGTGTTTCCAGTCTTTATGCTAAGCTAAGCTAACCGCTTCATATTTAGGAGACACAAAGACAATTTTCCATCCAACCCTTGGTGAAAAAGCAAAGAAACATAGTCCTTAAATGTCAAACTACTGTAATGGAAATAAGCCTATGCTTGACTTAAAGGTACAGTTCACCCCAAAATCAAAAATACATATTTCCTTTCTTACCTGTCGTGTATCAACTTAGATTGTTTTGGTGTGAGTTGCAGAGCGTTGAAGATATTGGCCATGAAGATATCTGCCTTCTTTTCAATATAATAAAACTAGATGCCACTCAGCTTGTGGTGCTCACAGCGCCCAAAACAGACATTAGAAAAACTCAACAGCAATGTCTTTCCAGAAATCATGACCTGGTTACTGAAGATAATCCACAGAACTTGTTGTGAGCAGTTTCATGTAGGAACTATTTCCTTCTACTGAAATACACCTGCCAACCGTATCACCGCGCAGAAGGAAGTGTGCATCTACTGCTAGCTCACCTAGCACCAGTGACCTAGCTAACATTACAGCTCAGCAAAGCGAAGGAGGATGCCATTATTGTTTACATCTCACACTATCACAAGCATCAGCCACTCATCCATGAGTAGATGCACGCTTCCCTCTGCATGGTGACATGGTTGATGGGTGTAGTTAGGTAGAGAAAAAATAGTTCCTACATGAAACTGCTCACAACAAGGTCTGTGGATTATTATGAGCAACCAAGTCATGATTTCTGGAAAGAGACATTGCTGTTGAGTTTTTCAAATGAAGTTTTTTGATGCTTTGGGCATTACTAGCCGAGTGGCATCTATTATATTTTGAGAGAAGGCAGATGTCTCTATGACTGATATCTCAAACACAAGCAAACAGTCTAGACTGATAAACAGCACTACTGGTAAGAGGAAAAACAGTTTTTTTTAAATGTTGGGGTGGACTGTTCCTTTAAAATTGCCCAAGTGTAACTAATAGTCTTGCTATCTTCAAATTACAAAGCAAGGTGTTTATGAAAACATGTTTTAGCTTAATTTTGTTTCTTTATTTGAAGCAGAGAGTTGCAGAGAGTGAAGCTGTCAGTTTGAAGCTCCCGCCTATGCTGCTGCCTCTCCAGTTACCTTGAAGGACTCAAAGAAGCCTCCTCCTCCTGCACTCCCGTTTTCCAGTTTGTCGTCGTCTCCTCCGACACCCATCATGGCCTGACTGTTGACATGGAGCTCCTCATAAAGGGTCTCTAACAAGGCCGACCTTGTTCGTTCCTTACACACACAAACACAAAGAGTGAAATGAAACAAAGGGTATTTTCAAAATACTATATATGTTTTAAATGCTTTACGACGACTCACCTCTAATTTGGCAAATTTCTCAGCTTTGTAGCAGGCATACTCTGCATTAATGAGCTTAGTAAAAAGGAATTCATGGAATTCAGGGCCCTGGGAAGAGACAAGCAAAGAGACAAGGCAACATGTTGGATTATCAAGAGGGGGAAAGTGCACTGGTTAGAGGACACAGTCGTTCAGATCTACAGGTTCTTTCTCTTACTTTTTTAAAGACAGCAGGGTTGGGGAGGGCCGGGCCAAAGAAAGGTACATCATCTCGTGCTGTGACTGACACCTAAAAATCATGAGTAAGATGAAGGTTAATTAACCCTTAATCACAGGAGGCAATGTCAGCTCATATTAAGGGAGATTAATTACCTTGTAGAGAACATTGTCAGTGCAGGGGTTGACCACTTGGACCACGATGTAGGCGTGGAGGAAGTTGGAGGCGATCATGTCCGGTACAAAGGGAGTGTTTTCTTCTTGGAATAAGATAGCCACAATGTCGTTCCCTATGTGCCTCTTTCTCTGCAACTGCAATACACCAGCCACATAGCAACTTAGAGGGTAACTTTTTTGTGTCTTAAGTAACTTATAGGAACAACTTTTTTTTGGAATTGGTCCAGAGGCTTGTATGCAGGATTTGGAGATAGCAAGGTAACTTCAGGGTTAACTCGAAAAATACTCTATTCTAATGTCACATATAGCCTGGTGATACCTACACAGAATTTATATCTTGACCGACGGTGAATATTTTCAAAGGCTCTACATTTTCTGTTATAAGATTACTCATTTACATCCTTCATCACTGACATTGCAGGACAGTATTGTAAATACTTTTGTACTGTTTCATCTCATATGATATGAAGCCATCTCCTTCATTCATGGTTGTGATGATGTCACTCGTAGTCATCACCCCCGCCTCTTTTACATGGACACGCTAGTGGCTAGATAGGAAAACCCAGAGTTGACTGAACTAGTTGATAACTAGCTTTTAAGTACTGGTTATCCAGACGGCCAGTGTGACGGGTTAGTCAAACCTGATAACGAAAAGGTATGTTGGGTAAGTTGAACTGGCTTCGTAGTACAGGCCTCAAGATTGAAGGAGAGTGGCAGTGGCAAAACTGGATGCAATGTAATCCATAAATGAGCATCATCAATTTATGTCCACTAAAAGCGTTTGTGTTTTGCCACCGACAGGCTCAGATTGTTATTTTAAGTGTCTGACATTATGAAAAGAAATAATACAGAGAAAAACCTTGTTGTTTAAAAAATGTGATCTTTTTGTTTTACCAGAAACTGCCCCGAAAATCACTATCACTAAACCCACCAGACTAAGACCAATTAAAGAAACAGTAATTTTATCATTGCAAAGCACACTTCTTTCAAAGTCAACAGAAGCAAAATAAAACACCCAAAAGCCATCTTGGTTCGTCTATTTTCTGTTTCAACAATTACCAACTCTTGTTTCACTGAAATAAACCTTTAATTTGCCCAGTTAGATGTGAAAATATGCTGGTTCTATACATGCTTAAATTGCTGTTTATTCAAATAGAGTCTGGTGGGTTTGATGATTGTGATTTCGTGGCTATTTCTTGTTAAAAAAAAAAGGATCTTACTCTTTAACAAAAATGTCTATCTGAGTCGTTTCAATAATGTTGTCAGGCACTTACAGTTACAATCCTAACCTGTCAGTAGCAAAAACAAACACTTCGAGTGGACCTAATTGACGCTGCTCAATTGCCCTCAGGAATTACATTGCAGCCTGTTTCACAGCTGGCAGCTGCAGCAGTCTTGCTCAGTACTGGACCAGTTTCAAAAATTGTTGTTCCCATTAATCAATTAGACACAAAAACATGAGAAAATGGGGTAGAGCTTGGAAAAAAAGAAGCTTCCTTTTAATGACAAATTAATTTAGGGGTGAATTAATGCAAGCTGTGCAAGGCAATTATTTTAGGATGAAAGAATGCTGATGCAAAACATTGGATGATATTCATTAATGTTATTTGTTATCTGCAGGTTTCGGAAAGGGAAAATTATGAGGACAAATTTATTGTAATGCTCCCTGGAATTGATTTTGGAAGACAATAAGTAAAAAAAAAAACCTATTGTTGCAGTTTCTACTAATTGTTGATAAACACCAGCCATTAAAAGAACACTTTGTTTTAATAACAATGACAACACAAAGCTAGCAAATGTGGCACATTGCCAAATTAACAGCTAATAAATTGTGTGAAACCTCCATGAGAAAAGTATTAAATTTCCTCAGTTTGTGTTTAATAAGAAGATAAAATGACAATTGCTTTTCTTGTTGTATAATCAGGCTCTGATTTGTGCCGTGAATAGACTGTAGAAAGCATAATAAATACAAAGAGGTGCTTCCTCTTAATTCTTCCTTTTCCCTGTCTCAAATCTGAATGCATGTAAATTTGTAAACCGCCACAAGGGTTTGCTGTTTCTCCTCACGACAGCCTGAGCAAGCAGCTATTGGATCAGAGGAGCCAATGCCTAACACCCACTACTGCTGGGGAGACTGAGCATATAGACCTTGCCTCATCTGTGTTTGTACAAACGACGACAGCAAATGGTGTGAGAGCTTGTGCTAATTAATCAGTGTTTGTGTGAATACGCGAGGCGGAGTAGGAGGACTCGGTCGTGTGAACAATGTGCTTTAAATCACTGAGAGGGAGGAGTGCTGCTCACATATGCAGACACTAAAGCATAAATTTAAAGTGATTCATGTTTACTACCACTGTGTTCTTGCAAATATATGTTGCGGGTGTTTAGCACAGCAGGGAGGAACATGCAAAATATGGTACTACAATAACCAGAGGGAACCTGTCTGACTGCTCACAGTGAATCATGAAAGGTGTGTTAGCCTGGTATTGGATTACAGTACCTGCTGGGTGTCCCCATCTGTGTAAGGCAGCTTTGTGGACACATGGAACATGACCTCTTTGTTGCGGTAGTTGCAGTAGACAGACTCAGTGCCAGTCTGCCCGTGAGTCACATCTAACCCTCCACGGAAACTGCAAGCACACAGAGCCATGTCTAACAAGATATTCACTGCAGTGCCATGACCATCCTTCAAGTAGCTGGCCTGACATACTGTAAATTGCGCTTGGCATCATGCTACAACTATGTATGGCAGAGTATATATAGTGCCTTCAAACCAGAGTCAGATCCTTACCCTTTAAAGTTATGCAGCTCAATTTTCTCTCCTAGAAATTCCAGGAATTCTACAAAGGCAGGACTCTCTTCACTGTTGCCAAACAGCTCTTCCTCTGAAGTCTGTAACCAATAAAAAATCCCTCATTAACATCAAGGCTTGGAGGACAAACGGATTTCAGCAGCAGGGCTGAGGACGATTTGTATGGTTGACTGTGTATTGTACACCAGAGTCCAGTAATAACAGCACTTGTCTCTATATTACAAATAAGCAAGCAGTAAGGACAATGTATGAGGAACAAAAGGAAAACTGATCACAAGAGGTAAGATCTGCATACTAGAGTGCCTCTGAGCATTTTATATAAGGTGTGTTTTAGTGCAACAGATCATTAGGGCTGATAACTGAATGCAGGGGAGTGAAGTGTATCCGGTGTGTTTAACACAGTGCATTTGCATTTCAGATCGATAATATTACTTTGTATAACAGAGGGTTTAAAGACAGGCTTAAGGAAAAGCTGGTGCAATAGTGATCAGCTCTGTCAGACAGTTGACTATCTATTGACAACAAGTGCAGCAGTGATATGAACAAATCTGCCTCAACAACACAGAGAAACACGCCTGAGAAGAAGCTTACGTTGCTCATTGAGTATTTCTGTTTTGTTTCCTGTGTGCAATATGCCAAATTAAACATCATGCCTTTCTCCACTCAGCGCCCCTTCTGAAGAGAAAGTGTTCGGAAGCATGAACAGAAGGTCCTCACTGTCTTTGTGACATGGCCCTCAGTTCTTTTACAGTTTATTTAACAGTGTTTTTAAACAGGCTGTTCTCTTTCACTATTTGTACTTGTACCTATGAAAAGTAATGCACAATTATTTTAGGCGGTGATCATGTGACCTATATGCTGCAGGCTGTCCTTCATCATATGACGAGTGCGCAGGATAAAGTCAGGTCACACAGTATGAAGAGCGACAAAGTCTGCGTAGGGAGAACAAGCCTGAAGGAATAGTGCTGAGCCAGTTTAACATAGTAGCCAAATTGGGCAATTAAAATCCATCACATGATGCCATGGAGACCAAAAAGACTTTTTCCCATAGACTTACATTGTAAATCAGTGGCAAATGTTTTTTGAGCATCACAACCTCCTACAAAATGACTCATTTCACTTTCAAAATTTGATTCATTCAGTCTGATAACATTTCAAAAGTCGACACGACTCACATGATTAAATCATCTCAGGTTAGTGGGCAACTTAAGCAGAAGTTAGCTGCTTAGCTGACAAAGTCTCTGGTGTGCCTGCATGGGCCCGATGATACGGAAGGTACAGGTAATTTTACACACAGAAGTCAAACTTTTTTGGCTTGAACTGAACAACTTTCATAGGAATGAACAGGGACCTGTCTCTAACCCTGTATCTGTAATTTCTTCATACATCCATGAGGAGGGTGATGTATAGGTCAAACAAACACAAGATACCAGGGTTCAATAGTACCATGTGAAACCAAAAGTCAGTGTTGAGTTAAGGTACATATTTAAGGTCAAGTTGTCACGTCAGTTCTGACATGACGTGATGTCAAGTGAAACCCATAAAAAAGAGGTGGCGACACACAGATCCCAAAGAAAATTTCAATTGGGTGCTGGATCAAAAAACTCAAGTGAAGATGAAAAAGAAAAAGATGATATGCACACCAAATAGAGCTCCCATTACTTTATAATTTTATTTTGTCATTCGTGACGTTTCGAGCACGCAGGCTCTTCCTCAGACTTGTTAACGTGAAGTGAAAACCCAAGCATAAATCTTCCTCAAACCCCAACATCAGGTTCACACTTGACACAGAAGCGCTGCAAAGGATGCTGTTTTACTGTGGAGCACTGACGGCTTGCTTTGTGCACCCATGTTAACCGATTGGGCTGCTTACACCGCAGTGTAGCGCCGGGCGCCCTGGCTGGCTCACAATCTGCAGCAATAGTTTTTGTGTCTGGTCTATTTTTTTCCACAAGGCGCAAGCAAATTGGGTAAGAAAACACACTGATAATCCTTTTTAAAGGATATAAAGGATATACTAATATGATACAAATGATCTGACTATGATAAATGATAGAATAGACATCCCATGCTTCCACATATATCCTAGTTGTGTCTAAACAGGGAGCAAGACAGATGAGCAGAACCACATACTCACTCACACACAAACACACAGACACAAGCAGACAGAGACAGAGCTCTACATGTAATTTAAACAGAGCAGAATCAGAGCAGCTAGCTGACCGATGCGGAGAAATTCACTTCTGGTGTTACTGGCTAGGCGACTGTGCAACAATTAAACTGGAGTGCTTCCATGTCCAGTATGAACCCAGCATCACCTAGCTGGTAAAGGCATTATTTCACAAGATATCATGGTGCTAATTCATAAGGTATAATTCGACATGTGTTCAGAACTTTTCATGAGATATCATATGAATTATATGGGCATATGTTTAAACTACTGCACGGCTCTCCACTGCAGATCTCTACATACTGATGTTTCCATTCAAAGGTACAAGTGCCCTCAGCAAAGCATTCAGCAGCTCCTCTGCCCCCCACATAGTAAACAAGAGGGCTGTGATTGCCTCAGAAAATGAGAGGGGGCGATGAAGACAGCCAGTCACTGGGCTGAAAGCCATAATTAAGACAGAGGAGGACTGAGCATTATCAGCTTCCTTGAGGAAATCACAAATTACAATGTATTGTACATTCTCGTTGTTCATGCACTGAATACAATGAATATAAATAATGCATGCACTTCCACAGAACCACCGAGGACCAAATTAAAAAGAAGGCATATTTCCTTTTAGTTTACATTCAGACTTTATAGCTCACCTGTCCAAACTTTTGATAGACGACCCCAAACTTGAAATTGTTGCTTATCACATGTTCATCGAAGGTGACAATAAGTCTTGAAGCCTGTGAGAAATATAGAGATATAACAAAAAAACATTTAAGGATGAGTTCACAGTTTTCCAAGACTGGTGACCACATGAATGTCATCATTCCTCTTGTTCATACCGGCCTTTAAGCGATCTCTCGCTAACTTGCTACCAGTATAAGTGATTGGAACACAGTGTGTAGGATTTAAAGGGATATATTGGCAGAAATGGAATATAATATAATAAGTATGTTTTCTTAAGGGTATAATCACCTGAGAATAGGAGTCATTGTGTTTTCGTTACCTCGAGTGAGGTGTTTATAGCTACATAGGGAGCGGGTCCTTGTCTATGGAGATTGCCATGTTGCAATGCCATGTTTCTACAGTGGCCCAGAATGGACAAAAGAAACACTGACTCAAGATAGGGCCATTTCTGTTTTTGCATTTTTGGATTTTCACGTTGGCAACCGTAGTTACTAGGGATGCACAGTATTGGATTTTCTCAATAGGCATGGTAGTGCAATGGTTAGAATTGTCACCTCACGGCAAGAGGGTTCCTGATTTGAACCCATGGTGGGTGATACGATCCTCGGGGTAGAGTAGCCCTTCTGTGCTATCTTCCCACAGTCCAAAGACATGCAGGTTAATTGGTGACTCTAAATTGTCTGTAGGTGTGAATGTGAGTGTGGATGGTTGTCAGCTCTGTGATAGTCTGGTGACCTGTCCAGGGTGTACCCCACCTCTCGCCCAATGTCAGCTGGGATAGGCTCCAGCCCCCCACAACTCCAAACAAGAAAGCAGTTGCAGAAAATGAATGAATGATCCGATATGCTGAACTATAACGGCACATTTGGTTGATAACCAATGCCACTTTTTCCCCCACCTAATTCTAGTGATCAAGTCTCTTCTGTAGTGGAATCAACATCATGCTCTCATCACAATGGCCCACTAGCAGATGGAGACATGACACACATCGTTTTCAATGTATGTGATATTTATTCATTGTGCAAAACAAGAAAAGCACGTTGGCTGATTAATTTTAAAGCCAATATCGGCTGATACTGATAATGACATTATCATGCATCCTTAGTAGTTGTGATAAGAGTGTCAGAAAAACATTGATTCTTTAACATGAAACTGTTTTATTCATAGTTTTAAGGGGTTTAAATTGCTGGGTCTGTTTATTTTGGAGAGGAGAAGACCTCCTGGACAATGAACACTGAAGAAATTCTAACTGTGAGAAGTTGGGTAGCAATCTGCAATCCTCCCCACTAAATCCTCCTAAATCTTACACACTGCTCCTTTAAGACAGACTAAGACAGACAAATTGCAGCCCTATTGTTTAAAATCATCAGATGTGTACAACTGGAAAGGACACATACAGCAGCTGCAACAATACAAACCAAACCAGATCTTACTTTTGGATAAAGGACAGGAAAAAAACGATCCACATTGACCTCTTCACAGACGAGCTTGGGTTTAAAAAAGAGAGAGAAAATGTTAGAACATGGTTGGACACATTCCCAGCAGATAAATCTCTGCTTCATAATAACAACTCTTTTTACCTTGGCCATTTGGACCACATTGGGAAACTCCGTCAGACAGGAAATGGGGATCACATCATGGTAGGTTTTCAGCTTGGTCCTGGTGATGTCATAAAACAATCAGTGCGGTTTCTAAGCCATAAAAAGTGATGCAGCATTTCTCAGAACCTATCAAATGGGGAAGAGATGATCCGGTATGGACCATTATCAAACTTGCCCACCCTCGCCTCTCTTTGCTTTCTCTCCCTCCCTCCCTCCCTCCATCCCCCCTTCCATCCCCACCCACTCGCTGGCCTAAATAGTCCATCTGTTACACTGCTGTGGAAATGACAGTGCTGTTGACACTCTCTCAGGCTTTATGACTCTTACGATAACACCCGTGCTGGTAGGATGTGTTTATCCAGTCAATTCTGGGTATTTAGGAAAAGAGAAAATGGTTCATCCTGCATATATTTTTCCTGTTGATGGTGAAAGTGCTGACATATTTTTAAGGCTACAGTCATTACCTCAGAAGTGCAGCTTTATTTTCCTTTCTAAATTAAGCAACATTGTACTGCAGCATGTATGCATAATGTATCATTACCTGAGCATTAGACGGAGATGTTCCTGGTCACCAATCACATCGTACTTTAGCGAGAACACCAGATGTCCAAGGGCACTGTCCACTGAATAGTAATTAAAGTGTTCCTGAGGGCAGAGTACAACAAGGATACGGCCATTTGTATCTGTCACAAACAGACACGCGTGCTCCAGCCATTACCCATATCCTTCCAGTCTGAGGAGCTTTCCCTCTGCTGTTGCTCTTCTACTACAGGCAGCTCAAATTTGTTCATATTATGCGTGTGTAAGAACAGGTGGCAAAGCCTAATGCATCTTCATTAGCAGCAGTGCACGAGGTGTCAAACAGTGAGGCTGGTCGCTGGTAGTGGTTCATTCTACCGGGATTTGCTTATTGCTTATTCATTTCATTACTATAATGAGCAAGAAGTGAAATTGATTGTGAAATATTCTATGAGAGTAATGAGGCTCATTTGTGAAGGAAGGAAGCTGTTATAATGACGGCCGTCATGAGTATGACTTTGGTAATATCTCTCTGAAGACATTCTGAGTACACACCATGTAAGAAACATGTACATCTGCCTTTATGGATAAATAAACCATGTCATGTTCCTGTCATTATATTTAATTGTATGATCACGAACATGGAAATTGAACATGGGTGAAAAACTATGAACTACTTCATCTGAAAAATCCTACAACACACCACTACTGCGTTCACTTTTTTTGGAGAGAAAATACACATTTCTGCCAGTGTAATGAAAAAAAATAAATTTCAAGTCATTATATTAGGAAATTTCTTCAATATACACCCACTGGCCACTTTATTAGGTACACCTTGCGAGTACCAGGTCGGACCCCCTTTTAATTCTTGGTGTCATAGATTCAACAAGGTGCTGGAAACATTCCTCAGAGATTTTGGTTCATATTGACATGATGACATCACACAGTTGCTACCATGCTTTCATGTTGTTTTCACCAAATTCTGACCCTACCATCTGAATGAGACCAGGCAACATTTTTCCAATCTTCTATTGTCCAGTTTTGGTGAGCCTGTGTGAACTGTAGCCTCAGTTTCCTGTTGTTAGCTGACAGGAGTGGCACCTGGTGTGGTCTTCTGCTGCTGTAGCCCATCTGCTTCAAGGTTGGACGTGTTGTTGGTTCAGAGATGGTCTTCTGCAGACCTTGGTTGTAACCAGTGGTTATTTGAGTTACTGTTGCCTTTATATCATCTTGAACCAGTCTGGTCATTCTCCTCTGACCTCTGGCATCAACGAGGCATTTTCACCCAGAGAACTGCTGCTCACTGGATATTTTCTCTTTTTCAGACTGTCTTCTGTAAACCCTAGAGATGGTTGTGTGTGAAAGTTTCTGAAATACTCAGACCAGCCCGTCTGGCACCAACAACCGTGTTACATTCAAAGTCACTTAAATCCACCTTTCTTCCTCATTCTGATGCTCAGTTTGAACTTCAGCAGGTCGTCTTGGCCATGTCTACATGCCTAAATGTATTGAGTTGCTGCCACATTATTGGCTGATTAGCTATTTTCATTAACAAACAGTTGAACAGGTGTACCTAATAAAGTGGCCTTTGAGTGTAACTCAGTATGACTTATTGTCTCAAAATAATTAAGCTTCTCATTATTTCGAGAAAGTTTCCGAATATAATGACTTACAGGATCTTTTTTTTTTAATATCACACTGGTGGAAACGTACTTTCATACTTAAATTTCAGCATAACAAGCTAAATATATTTTCACAGTAACATCAACATGTTATCAAAATGTCATATTTTTTGTTTCTGCCCACATCCTGGGAAACAGTTATTACAGCAAAACATTGTACATGAAGAATCTATTAAATATCCTCCTGTTTTGGATGTAGAATTTATATTACTTAGTGGAATACTAACAGAGATTCAGTGCAAGACTGATACATATTTAAAAACAATTTTATCTGCAATATATATTTCATAAAATTTGTATTTCTGCCTTAAACCTTATGAATAAATTATTACAGAAATCACGCTCAGGCATCCACAACATGAAGAAAATCATAGGCAAAATTTAGACCATGGAGCAAATTACATTTATACATTTAGGTCAAGAGGGAATTTACCGCTACACAAAAGACGACGATGGAAATGTTTCAGTAGGGAAAACAAACATATGCATGAGCTTGTTTAATTAAGGATTGAATGTGTATTGGATTTTTGGCATCAACCGCTCTCGTACTGTTGTTCTTTTCTCTTTTTATATTGTGTGTGTGTTACCTGTGGTGTCATTTTCGAGCTTGCCTACACTGTCACAGATATTGCGTCCTCTGTTTCTTGTTTGCTTTTCAAGATGACAATAAAAAGTAAAAATCATACATTATGTAAAAAGAAATATCTCTCTCTGTGTGTCAAAGCGGCTAACCTTGCCCAGGAAGTGTTTCCGGAAGAGCATAGCTATTGTGTTACATTCCAGCTTGGTGCGGGTGTTTGGGGACGGAGGTTGCAGCTGCTCTATGTCCACTGTGTCACTCATCTCATGGTTGGTCCCTTCAATCCAGTAACCCCCAAACTGCGGCAGGAGGATGAGAGGAAAGGGGCTTTTTCTGCCCAACACCTGCCACAAAATACAAAATAACGGGTTGAGAAACAGAGCAGTGTAACTGTGAAGGTAATATCAGGACAAGAATAAAACTGAGGTGATGTCTGAGTGATGCAGACGGACTAATGATTAAAGTACTACCTCATGGACACTTGGGTATGGAATGTAGTCCTCCTCCGTCTGAAAAAAAGAGTAAAAAAAAGCTTTGTTTCCTCATCAAAGAATAAAAATAACCATGCTGTCCAACTCTGTAATCCCAAAGGACACTGATTCAGAGTAATTGCATAACTGTTATGCATTGAAAATCAGTTTGGAGACTACATAGGAATCAATTCATTGCTTGATCAAAGTATTGCCATTGTTTTAGACATTGGTGGTTTAAAATATTTTATTACACATCTTGTTAAATTCTCTGTTGCTAAGACTTCACCATGTCTCTCTGCAGAGCATCAGAGAACATGTGAGTCTGAATCCAAACCTGCTCTGTTGGTGTAAAAATGATGGCAAGGCTTGAGAGCGTCTCCCTGCATTATGAATAATACTGTGCAACTGTGCTCCCAAGTAATCAGCCTGTCTGGCAGAGCGAGATATGGCAGCGCAGTCATGAGACAATGACCGCATCATGTGAATAACACCGTGTCTCTACACGGAGAGTCGCACCTTGAGAGGGGGAGGAAAGGTGCATCTCTGCTCGTCCATCCTGTTGCCCTACAAGAGGAGAGGGTGAGATAAAGAAACCAGAGAGAGAAATCGCTCAGTCATCAACACACACACACAGGCTGCTTTTGCAATCCAAAAAGTCAACACGAATATCTTTACTCAAACACTTATTGTTGATTACACACACAAAAACAGTTTGCATAATAATCATGTCCTGAAAGACCACAACAAAAAACAAACTGAGAGAATATCAACCCTATTACATAATGACACAGTTTCCCCCAAGAGGTATGCAGCAGGCAACCAAGCAAAGTCAGAAAGGGACAGATGGAAAGACACAGAAAGAGATACATTACACACACACACGCACACACGCTCACGCACAGCAGATACCAAAAGGCAATTAAAGGATGCTAAAGAGCAGGCATTTGGGAGTGACTGAAACGTCTGTTAGCACACAGAGGAAGAGCGGTAATAAGACCCCAGGGATTAAAAAGATGCTGAGCTAAGTGACGTTCCTACACTTAAAAACACCTACTGGACCTGAGGTGTGAGAGTGTGTGTGTGTGTGTGTGTGTGTGTGTGAAAGAGAGAGGAACAAACACAGACAAAGAGATGCAGTGATGCTAAATAGGGGCTAGGTGATGGCGCCTGGTGTCACGGAGGACGATACATCACATCGATATATTGTCTGACTGTGGAGAAAACACAGTCCTGCATCACATCCCCTGCTGAAGAGGAATATTCATTTCTAAAATATTCAGATGGATGTTGTGGCCACTGAAAGCCACTATCACTGATATTCATTTTATATTCCTGAAAACAGTGACCAATGTGATGCACAAACATGATGAGTTTTGACGCGCTCCATCATAAAACTCTTACCCTGTTATGTGTGGGATCGCGTGATTAAAATAAACTTCCCCTCAAAGCCTTCAGAAACCAGGAGACATTTTCTGAGGTGAGATAATAAGCTTACAGAGCTGTCAGCCAGTGTTACGACCAGAATGTTAACAGCTGAAAAACACATATAATGCTCTGACAAATCCCTTCTGAAACCACCAGACTCAACATCCCTCTCGTGTGCAGAGCGCACAGAAGTATTGTAGCCGAGGAGACGGCCAAAGTGCTGCAGGAATAGCAAGGAGAGACACACTCACTGGTTAGTTGCTTGGTGAGTACAGCTTAGAAAGCCGAGGCAAAATATGAAAATCAACACAGCATCTTACCTGCATCTTTTCAATCATTTCAAATATATCTGGGGTCTGGAGAGAGGAGAGTGAGATGACATGTTTTGAGTTCATTTGTTTGGTTGCTAAGGTGTAATTTATTTTTACAGCAGTGAGTTCAACCCTGTCTATTACTTATTATGTGGAGCTGATCACACTCCATCCCGTGCGGAAGCCCTGAGCGGCAAGTGAGAAATAAATCTGGTGATCCATTTCCTAAATTGTCTTCTCTCGTGTGTTTATGGCTCGAGAAGAGGTGGAAAAAGGTTTTACCAGGATTATCTTTTTATGTTTTTTGTCCATCTGTGAAACAGGTGGCGACGTTTTCTGTAGTGGACTTCTAAAACATGTCAGAGTTTGAATTCATTTATCAGAAAATTGCATAAATTAGGAACATTCATGACAAAATAATGTGATAGGACAATATTAACTAGGGCTGTGCATTGGCAAGAATCTGGAGATCTGGTGATACGATCTGCATCATGATTCATTCATTCATTCATTCATTTCTGTAACTACTTATCCTCTTGAGGGTCGTGGGGGCGGGGTGGAGCCTATCCCAGCTGACAATGGGCGAGAGGTGGAGTATACCAGACTATCACAGGGCTGACACATAGAGACAGACAACCATTCACACTCACATTCACACCTATGGCCAATTTAGAGTCACCAGTTAATCTGCATGTCTTTGGACTGTGGGAGGAAGCTGGAGTACGCAGAGAAAAACCCATGCTGACACGGAGAGAACATGCAAACTCTGTACAGAAGGGCTATCCCCTGAGATTGAACCAGGAACTCTCTTGCTGTGAGGTGACAGTGCTAACCACTACACCACCGTGCCGCCTGGTCATGACCCAATATAGTGTGATACATAGCATTTTTTAAAAATATATTCTCAGAAAAACTGTCAAGCTGTGTGCCCTTTATGACTAGGGATGGGTACTGAAACATGGTATTCAACGGGCCCTGAGATTAAATTATCAAAGCCTCGATAAACTCCGACATTATCTGTTCTTTTGTTGATACTTTTTTTTTTTTAACTTTTTAGTGTATATTATTATCATGCTGCTCTCTGTGTTGGGGCTAAACTCCTTCACATTCACACAAACAAATAAACATACACAACGGAACGGGCAGTGAAGTCAGTGAACAGCAGAGCAGAGAGGCCGCTGTGGTGACAAAGTGAAGATAACTTTGAGATTACTCGAGTTGACGAAAACTGTGCTCCTTACTGTGAGTCCGCACGTACAATAAAACCTTTGCGAGTAAAAAGGCAAAACTTAATTACAGTATAATACAAACATAAACATGTAAATACATAGAAAGTGACATTTTAATTTGCTCTATCAGCAGTCTCTCATCCACTGCTGCTGACTGCTAGCTCGACTAATAGCGAAATATTTCAAAATAAAATGAAAGCTGCCTGTATGTCATCTCACTGTTTAGCTTAGTTTGCCACTTATCTTCAAATTGGGCTAATTATTTTAAACATAGCTGCTGGCTGAGACAAACAGCCCCTCCTCCCTCGACAAGCGTTACCTGCAGGCAGCAAGATTGACTGATGAAAACTAAAGTTAACTCAGTATTGTGATGTCAGGAATATTGTTCATATAGTGACTCTGCTGTTACTGTTGCTGGTCTAAAACAAAATTCAGTGATATTTAAAATATTCAGTGCGGATCCTGCTCTTCAATAATTCTTTTTTAAGTCAATATATTTTCTAAAAACCGATTATTTAGTCATGAAAAAGCACCAATAAGAATATCAATAGAGTACCAAACCAATAGGGAAGAGTATTACTATCTGTGTTCTTTGTGTTTAGTGATATGTTGTTACATTGAAATGATGGTTAAAGATAGATTTCAACACTGAAGGATCCAGCTGCCACAAAACTTGCATGAAAACTATTAATTAAAAACTGATACAGTATTTTTGGGAATCAATATGGTATCACAAAAGTGTATCAATATTTTCTTACACCCTTAGTATTAACTGTAGCTTTTTGGATCTTTAAAAGAGTGTGCAGGGTCTCAAGGACCCTGAAACACAACATTAAATGCTCAAACATGACTGTCCCATTACATAGTGCTGTACAGTAGGCGTTGTAGAGTTGGTAAAGCATAAACTTTATGTCAGCTGTTCCCATGACTTGCAACACTGCCACAATTAATACTTATAAAAATTAAATTAAAATGTATAATGATTATAATTACATAATTATTTTAATCATTTTACCTGATGTGATCTCTCGCCTCTCCCTTGGGTTTGTCACACTATCACACAGCCATGAGTGACAGACTGGCTTTTCCACGTCAAACACCTGCCTAATCCTTCAGATCCCAACCACAGCTGTCGGGGAATTGTCCTTGAAATCTTTACATACAAAACGTGCACCCTGACTGCTGCAGAAAAAGCCGAATTACAACAGTCCATAAAAAACGTCGGCCTGCAGTAGTAAAGTGACGGCTGAAAGGTTCAGCCAGTAAAGCCTGACAGAGTCAAACAGTTTATGTACAGAGCAATCTCGCCGTAGCTTTCAGTGTGAGTATGAGTAAAGTCCTCCACCATGCGCAAACAATAGTCTGCCACAAACCCTGAAAGTAAATAACCCCAGCTTCAACAACATTAACTAGAGATTAGAACAAGAGGAGCTGTAGTGTTGAGCTAGATATTATCTCTGGACTCAAACAACTGCATTAGCCATAAAACTACATGTAACACAGCCCTTAAAAAAGGCATGGCTATGTCATGTTATCGGCTTGTTGACACTAAAGAGAAACACCTGATAATAAAACTAGAAATGTCCCCCCACAGACAGATATTTTTCTTCAGCGCATCACTTCAACACACAAGCAACATAAACTGTCATGCTTTGCATTCGCAGCCTTAATCTCAGTTTGGAGAGGCAGTTGTCCAGGCCTCTGCTGAAAATCCTGGTAAATTCCCTCTATAGTTTGTCATCTAGTGATGTTTCCCATCCAGCATGTTTCTAAAGTAAAGCTACTTACATGGCTGGGTTTCTTCCAGTGTGCCTTTGTCATCATCGGAGCATTGAAGTTCTTGTTATGATTTTTAGCCATTTTTAACTTTCCTCAAACCGGAGTCCTGCAGCTTCAAAAGATGTTCCTCGACTGACAACAGGTTTGGCTTAAACTCGCTCTCCGGCTGCTGCACCTTTGTTCAATCGTAGACAGCTGACTGAGTCCCACTGTGACACCCAAAGTAAAGCTGCATCCCTGCTCACAGCAACCATGACTGACAAAGAGTTGGATGACACAAAGTTGAAGACAAGATCCACAGGCTCTCCCGCTGTGTGCTCTAAACATGTAACAGCATCAGCAAGTGTCTCGAATGTCTCAGGTTGCATGTAAAGGCAGCTGCTGCTGCTTGAAGTTTAGAGCAGTAATCCTCTGACTGACGCTGGAGGTGTCTTGTCCTCTGCTGATCCTTCTTTGTCACTGTGTGGCAGTACAGGAAGAACTCCAAAACACACATCATCCACCTCTGTCTTTATCACCCTATCCTGACTTAGCCTGACAGGTGGCCAGAGGTGGAGTCCAACTCTTCTACTCATTACATGTCCTCAAATATATGGGCAGTTAACTAAGATGCAAAGGAAACAAAAGCCTTAAAAGAAATCTACATAACCACAAAAAAACTGCAGTGGAAACAAACTGGAGACAAACAGCAACCAGACATCTCATTTTAGCAGATAAAAAAAAAAAAAAACATTTTGCAGAGATGACCAGAGCGGAGGAGGTGTTGAATCCACAGGGAGCCAGGCTGGCATACAGTGCAGGTGTTAGTGCCTAGATCTCTCATAATGAGAGCTAATAGGCTTGTCAGTATGACAAGAGGCAAATTAAATGTGTAAGACCTCCTCTCAGCTCCAGCGTTCTCAGGTGCATCTCTGTGCGTCTTCACAGAGGCCATAATAACTGACCAGCTCCAAAACACTGGAGAATATCAGAACAATGGAGGGTCTTATATTTGATGCATAATACGTCTGGGACTGCTTGCACAAAACACCTTACGTATTCACCTTAAGTATGACACTTAAGGCTTAAGGGACTTGTGTAAGTATTTTTTCATTTATCACCATAAACTCAGTCATGTTGTAGAGTTAAGAAGTGTTTTTTTTTTTAACCTCGCTTTGGTTGCTAAGGTCTTTTGTGCAGCATTCTAGAGATTTGTTAAGACCAAGACAAGGTGAAAACCATAAATACTTAGGGTGAAAATTTTAAGGAAACCTTAAGGTGTTTTCTGCCACAAAGGTGTTTTAGGGTGTTTTCACACACAGGTCACAGGTGCCCCATGCACAAAAGGCTGTGTCCTTGGCTGCAGCGGTCGTGCACACAGGCACATTTAGGGGCAGTATGAGATGGCCCAGGTAGCTGCATTTGTTGGGGATGCGGGCAGCTACTGTCGTATAAAGGGAGAGAAAGTCCACATGGGGAACTTAACCTAAAAACAAAGTGTTTTACCACGGTTGTAAAGTTATTTTGAAAGGAGATTATGCATGTAACAATAATGCAAAAAGTGCCTTAAGTTGTACTTAAGTATAGTACTTGAGTAAATATATTTTGTGTATAGCAGTGTGGTTTGAATTAGGCAGTGACCATAAGACCTGGTGGGGTTAATTGCAGATTGACCTGGTTTTCGCAGGGCTCTGATTAAAGTGATACGCTCCTCTGAGTCTTGCCCCACTAAGCCCTTACCCTACAGTACATTACATTAACATGCTGTCCCTTGATGTCCCCCAAAAATATGTTCCTTTGCCTGAATTGAAATCATAAAAGTTTGAATTAAATGGGGTCACAGAGACCAGATATTAAATTTGACTGCTTTTTAACTGCTGCTGACACTCTTTAGTGTGTAAGTGTTTCCGTTTGTCCAATTACAAACCATGTGATGCATTTAGAGGCAGTTTCTCTTCCAGGATGTGAAGAAAAATGGGGGAAATACAATATGAGCCAAGTCTGGAATACCTTCAGCGATGCCTTAAGTGGCTGTATGCAAATCTATAGACAAACAGAAGTTTCAAAAATCCTCTCCTTGTGTCTGACTAATTGTAACCAGAAAGTCTGCTGCACCTACAGATGGTGTGTGCCGCAGGGATCAGGACTGACTGTTGAACAACCAAACCTCCAAATTCTCCTTTAATCCCTTTCTCTTTCCACTCCTGCTGCTCGACTCAGATCAAGTCAGATTGCGAGAAGCGTAAGCCCCATCCAAAGTGTGAGAGACCTTATGAAACCAATCCGACGAGAGTGAGACTGTATCCACTTTTAATCACCACCAAGCTCAGCTTTGTTCAGTTTCTAAGTTCCCAAAATATCCCTGGCAGGTTTTTCATGTCAGTCGCTCCTGTCTGAGATGTGCCAGAAGGTGGGCATGAAGATTCTGACAGCAAGATGGATGTGATAGGTACTGTGACAATCTAAATAGATTTACTGAGATGATTTCTTCACTTTCTGCATCTACAATCACACAAATTCAGGCCCAATCCCATTACACCCCCTTCACCTACCCTTGTCCTTACACTCTGTTTCGCATGTTCAAGTCTAGGGGTAGGATGTCCTGATTCTTAATAGGATAGAGAGGTTGGGCAAGTGTTAGGGCTACATGGCTCTCCAAATGAAGGTATTTCAGATGCAGACCTTAAAGTGAGTGTCATGAGAAATCACTGGCAAATGGCTGCACGAGCAACAAAAGAAACCCACAAATGTCTTTTCTTTCTTAATAAAGATCTAAGAATTGCAGTAATCATTTAATTACCTTAGTTTAATGGTGTTTCAATATGTTATTGTCTATTTCTTTATAACAAGAATAACAAAGGAAATCGCTAGTATGCTGATGTATTGGTAGCTAACCATTCTCAGAACCCATGGGCTGTATTCGGCGTCTGACTTCCGGCAGACGGCGACACAGCCTCTGGGGGCAGACCCCAGATTTTTTGGCATTCCGGTTTGAGGAGGCGAATTTCCGTTTCCAACTTCCGTTTATATATAAGTAAATATGCTGAACCATTGCGATGGATTCAGAGTTTGCAGTGACACCAATTATGTTCCGCCTCGTTAGTTCACCGCACGGAGTGTTTAACCTGGCAACAACTGCAGCCGACTCAAATGTGATTGATCAATATCATGCAGACTACAAACAGCCTAGCACCGGAAACCAGGGCTCTTCCGCAAGATCTCCGGGGTTTGTATATAGATTATATATAGTCTGTATATAGAGACTAGTAGCTAACTAACTAGCTAGCTGGCTAACATTATACTTTTATTGCTGATTTGTGCATTACAGTCCCACGTAATGACGTATTGCCATTTCTTAGGGTGCTTTCACATCTGCCTTGTTTGGTTCAGTTCAATAGAACTCATGTTCGTTTGCCCCCTAAGTGCAGTTCGTTTGGGCGGGTGTGAACACAGCAATCACACTCACACTGCGCACCAAACAACCGGACCAAGACCTTCTTGAAGAGGTGGTCTCAGTCCGGCTACAAATGAACTCTGGTGTGGTTCGTTTGTGGTGAGAACGTGCTCCGACCTGGATCTGAACCAACTGCAGTCACATGACACATTGTTTGGGTTAAACATGAGCATGTTACAGTCCTGGAGGATTATTAATGTGCACCTCCTCCTGTACTGCCTTAATATGCACATTCAGCACATCCAATGCATCAAAACATTGTTTTCTAGTTGGAGCCGCGCCTCGTTTTCAAACTGTATGGTTTGACTAAAATGAACAATGACAGCAATATAGTCCACGATGAGCAGCGCTAAAATCAACCTGCGTAGTTGTCCCTCCATTGTGACATTAGAAAGTGTCACATTTATCTTGCAAGTGTACTCTTCTTCAGTGTTTTGTTACTTCCTGGATTTTTCCCACATGGAAATTCTGACCAGTCAAGAGCAGCTCTCTTGCACAAGGCATTTTATCTGGTTTGCTTGTAAATGCTGCCGTGGGAACACGAACCAACTCTAGGCAATTATGCAGCTTTGTAACAAAATTAGTCCCTGTTTTGGACCAAAGCAAGACAACTCTAGGTCTGAAAGCACCCTTATTCTCTTTGATGGCATACGGTGCCCAAAATTTAACCAATGTCCAGCAGCATAGTTGCAGCATGTGTTACTGTTATTCTAATATCTGTGCAGACTGACAAGGTAGGTGTATGGGTTGCTAATGTTAGCCCACAGAGCACTGCTAGTGGCCTTGTTTAATTGATTGATATTATAAAATTTAAGTTGTGAACAAATCACGAGCATCAGTGGTGTAGTGGAGGGTATACTCAGGTATACAGGGTACATCCACCTCTTTTTCTGGCAATTTACAAAATACCCACCGATCAGCCAAAAAGCCATTGGAATATATAGGAGAGTATACCCACGTCTGTCTGGATGACAATTGAACCCTACACAACAACTGATTAAACATGATTAAACATCACTGACTTTCCAATTCGTGACACATCCTCCATGACGGTGGGGGTGTGGAAGTTTGTCTTTTGATTTAAAAAATGACAATTGCTCAGACAGGCTGTATTCTGTTTACTTTCATGGCATCAGACTTGTTAGGCTTGGATTGAGAAACTGTCGTCATCCAGCTGACAAATTCCTGCTATAAATAGATTTGTATTAATTGAATCAGGCAAATATAATCATCCCAGGCACCGAGCTCTGTGAGCTCTAATTACACAAGTTAAACAAAAGAAGACAAGGATAAAAAGCAAAGAATCACTACAAGCAGAAAGTCTGAGTCTAATACAGTCATGACAGTTTCATTACAGACAGAAGCACCCAGCAAGTGTTTCCAGACAGGAGCAGGTGTAGAGACAAGATGAGCAGAGACACCTTACAAAGATCACAGAGAGAAAGGTCACATAGAGGTCTACCAGATAAGGTCAGAGGTCAGAGTGCGAACTCAAACACCCCCGTGGTCTCCTCCTACCTTGTGTAATGGCGAGCTGGTGTATGGGAGTGTAGGCTGGAACAGCTGGGGCTCTAGTGTTGCAGAAATTCTGGGGTCACTCCCATCTTGTTTCCTACAATCAGACAGATCCAAAAGAACATTCAGTCAGAAAAGGTCACTCAGTTTAAGATCAGGAGAGAAGACAACAAAAGAAAACGCCTCAGGAGATGTTGTTGGTCTCATTTAGCAGCTGAATGCATTTGTATGGACCGGTGGTCTGAGGCAATGCAACAGCCCTCAGACCAAAAACTGAGGTTTTCCTTTTTTTAAATTACTCATGAGTCATCTTCTGTGTTACTGATCCTTTCTGTTTTTTATTCATGTTTCTAGAAAGTGAAGCACAGAAAGCGGTAAAGTCTGACATTGTTTAAAGAAAATGTAACAGGAAAGAATACAGTCAAGTCAAGAACTGTCGCTATCCTCGATTTCCTCACCTGGAATCCTCTACTTTGTCTAATCTGCAGTGTCGTGGTAATTAAGGTTAAACTTGACGCCCAGGTGTTTTCCTTAATATATTCAGTCTAATTCTAAAATGTTTTTTTATACGTGTCTAAGATAATCCATTCTCATTCCCAGGTTGTCAGTTACCGCAGCTTTGTCATGCCCTTTGGTGTCTTGGTGTCACCTCTAATACCACAGTGTTATGGTATACTTCCTCCCACTCCGTTAGGTTATATTATATTATTTGTCTGCTTGTTCATGTCTTTTTTTTTTTTACGTTCAAAACAAATATCAAATATGGTATACCAGGGTATATAAAAATCCCAAAGGTATGATTTTCAATACAGTATAAAATACAGGTGCTCTGCTGAGGCAATGTGTTGTAGTGCACAGCCCCCGCACCACAGGTTAGTCTTTACTGGTGTAACATGGAGCTAAGCGGGGAAGATAGCGACCGCTAGTGGTTAGGATAACGTAATAGGAATGTAAACAGCTGGGCTACAAGAGCAGAGAAAGACTGCAGGGAAAACTGATAAGAGCCAGCATATTTTCAGATCTAACTCGATGAATTAAGAGTAATCATATGTTGTTAGGCTGTCGGTGGCCAGCTGGAGGATTTTAACATATCATTACAAGACAATTTCATACATGTTATATTGAATTCTGTCCCCAGCAGCCCAGCTTTTACAACACATTGTCACTCCCACCTCCTCACATATCAATGTTTGGTCTTGGCCCTTCACATCCAGATACTAGATGAAAGGTACCCTGGGTGCATTGGTTGTTGACGTTCTGGGATACCGTGTCAAGCTATGCCTGTTACATGGATTGTCTTCTTTCAAAATACACTTCTGTTTTCACAGGAAATTTACCATTTACATGCAGTGTCTTTCCAAAAAAAACAACACACTACTTAAAGTCCCACTGATCGTCACACACCTGAATGTGTGAAATTTGTTCTCCGCATTCGACCCATCCCCTGAGGGGGGGTGAGCACCAGCGGTGCCGTGCTCGGGAATCTTGTGGTGATCTAGCCCCCCCAATTCCAACCCCTCATGCTGAGTGCCAAGCAGGGAGGCAATGGGTCCAATTTTTATAGTCTTTGGAATGACCCGGCCGGAGATCGAACCCACAACCTCCCAGTCTCAGGGCGGACACTCTACCGCTAGGCCACTGAGCTGGTTGCATTGGTACAACACCGCAAATTGACTTTTTTTTTCCTCCAACAACTAATACACGTGGTTGGATTTAGGAAAAAAAGAACGGGGTTGGCTATATAGTCTTATGGGATGCCAACACTGCTTTCCTGGGTGAAAGCCGGTGTTTGTTGGACCCATCCACCACTTCTCCCACCCACCCTACTCAGACTTTTGCCAGCATAACTTTTGTTCTTGTCCCGCCATGTTTCCCCCTGATGCCGTCGAGTGCCATTAAGCTATAAATGCGACCGGCCGTGTACCATGCTGACATCAAAGGATGGCTTTTTTTCTCAGTGTCTGACACTGCAAGTCACTGATTTCGAGTGGATTTCAATGACTTTAGCATGAGACCGGGTTGGCTTTTACCTTATTTATTTATTTATTTTTTTTATGTATTTTTACACAAATACTGTCATACACCCTATACCCAAGTGAAGTGTGAGGAAAGTATGAAAATATATGTACCTACCAAGTCTAGCATTTGTATGAGATTCACCAAGCTTTCAACTAACTCCAAAAAAAAACATCTGTGACAATATTAATCTCTCAGAGCAACTGACATAGTTTAAAGAGCGAAAAAGAAGGTGTCTGTTGTATGTCGGGGTGGATGGATGAGTCAAACAAACATAGGACTTTGACCCAGGAGATTGCTGTCTGTGTCCCGTGTGAAACCCAAACCATGATCTTTTCCTAAATCTAACCAAGCACTTTTGTTGCCTAAACCTACAGTAGTTGGATGCCAAAATGCATTGATCTAGGGACATACATGTTATGTCTGACACTTCCAGTAAATCAATAAATGATTTCTTTGCTGTTCCCAAAGGACAAAAGACATCAAATCATATTCCTCTGTGCAGGTTCCCCATTTCTTTCAGAACATCAGCTGCTATTCACAAACACTTCAGGGACCGAGGGATGTAATACCCATACTTTCACATTTATTCAAACAGAGCATCTCTCTTCTCAAACCCAGGAGAGTAACACACTTCTAATGCAAAACCCAGCAATGCTACTTTCACACATCTCCGTGCTATAAACTCAATATCTCTACCAGCATGGCTTTATCCCCATAGGATCACTGATCAATAATCCCCGCTGATATGGTGCCCTATTGACACTGACAACTAGCCAATTTGCACAGCAGGCTTTCAACTTATTTGATGAATTCAATCAATTTTAAACACACAAAGTGATCGACTGGTGAAGATGAAATGCTCTCGAGGCCGCCATAATGCAAAGTGAAAAATATACATTGCTGTTTGTGATGATCAAAGAAAGCTACAGCAGCCACAATGAAATACGTATCATATCTCAATATCAACAAGGCGACGTGCTCTCCAGCTGCCAAAAGGCACCGAGCCCCACAGGCAGAGAAATATCATTCAATAACTCAATGATACAACAGTATCTTGACCCCGGAAAACTAATCATTTTCCGAAGAGATAGTATGGCTGTCTGTGCTGACACAGTAATTAGTTATGTATGTGCCAGTGCATGAAGCTGTGTTGGTCTGGTGCTGAGGATGTAGATAAGACAAACAGCTGCTCAAAAGGGACAGTGACCGAAATGGAAATCTGCTTTCAGAGTGCACTCGGATCAAATATAGGTGAAGGAGAAAATAGAGAGCGTGAATCATTAACACACAGCGCTGCCTGCTATGACACAATGAGTCCAGTGAATCTTTAATCAAGAAAAGTCCGGCATCACCTAAATAAATTGTGAATAACTGTAAACCTTTTCTCAGCAGAATCAAATAAACATGAACAAGGCGAGAAGTCCCGGCAGGAGTTCTCCCATGGGAGAGCAGGATACAGTGGGGCATCAGCTGCTCTGAACTCTTAATTAGAACTGATGCACAATAGATGGATGCAGGACACACACACACACACACACACACACACACAGATGGACCGTGTGTGAAGGAAAATGCTTTCATTTCTAACAGTTGGTTTAAAGATATAGATGTATTACATATATCTAAAAATTGAGATAATACTTGTGTGTTGTATGCACAAAACACAGTATATAATAACTACAGCCTGACATAAATTGGTGGCAAGATACTCCATCTATACTCAACTCCAGCAACATCAAAACACACATCAGAGTAAAAGTGACACAAGAAACGTCCACCACAAACTCACCCTCCATCACAAGCATGTTGTGCTGCACACATTATATACTGCTGTTCACACACACCTGCCCTTTCTGCGTGGCATTACCACGTAAGCCCTCCTGCAGATCAGTTTGCATCACTAAGCCACAGCTTCATCCCAACAACACCACAACAAATTACATAACACACCCCAGCTGGTTAGCGATGCACCACAGAAATCAGCCGTGTGAAGAAGTCACAGCGTGTCATCTGAGCGAACCTGATGTCCTGTGTAGAGCGGAGGAGCAAACTTAACTCACACAGAGGCAGCTGGGCTCTCCCTGGGAAGTCCGGACAGTGACCAGCACTCTGGCAGATGACTCACTGTCTACGCTTCTCCTCTGGTTAAGCTCCCGTCTCCCTCCCTCTCTCTTTCACAGTTATCTCCTCTCTCTCTTTCTCTGCGTTCACTCTTCTCTCTCTCTCTCTCTCTCTCTCTCTCTCTCTCTCTCCAGCTTTCAGTCAGCTCACTTGCTGCTTCCCGTCAGTCGTTCACCTGCTGGCCTCACTCTCAGCTCTTAAGAGTGCTGCACACTCCCAGTGAGCATCCTCATCTGCTGCTGATTCTCCTCCCTCACGCTCTCTCCTCCCACTCAGTCTCTCATACACACATATGCGCTCTTTAGTTGTCACTTCCTCCATCTCCACCCTCTTTGTCTGCTCTTAAGCTCACACATGCATGATGTGGTGTCCAAAATCCTGTACTCTGAACCAGGCACCCACCCCCAACCACCACCACCACCGCCACCCTTAACCCCTTCAAAGCAGGAGACCCTCCCCCCCTCTCCACCATGTAGGGAACGACTGAAGTCTGCCGCTCAGAAAGGGAAAGCAAAGCAGGGCTGGTTAGGGTAACGGGGGTTGCCTTAAATCCCCACACTGCCTCACAACGAGCCAGCTAGGGCTGTTGCTGTGGCAACCACATCAGCTACACACGTAAAAAAAATAAATAAATAAATAACACCCACATTCAAATTCATGTTCATTATGTTTTGACTTGAACAAGGTGATTATGTCCAAAACTGAGCTCCCAAAGGTGAGCAGGCATTGCAGCATCCTTAATGCTCATTGTGCAGCATGAGAGAGGATGTGAGGGAAGCTTTTTAATTACTGTAATGAGTCTCATTCAATCCCCAGTGAACATGCGGGTTTTCTCCACTAAGCTACTATCCGCAGCTCCCAGCAGACCACTGACTAATGTCACCAATACCGCCTTTTTCTGCTAAATCCCTGCCAGACAATATTCTAAGCAGCAAGAGTGTCGACTCATCTGTCCAG